CTTCCACTTGTATTCATATTATCACTAAATAAATAATTATGGTTGAATCAACAATATTTATGGTTAATATAGAGACAAAATAAATGTATAGTTGAAATAACTTCATTAAAAATTACAAATATATATTATGTTATTACATTGCTATAGTAGATATTTAATATATTACATTTTAATGGCTCCTAATTAGTAGACATAAATAAAACCCTAGTAAAATCATGAAAATATGAATAAGATTTATAATCTATACTGGAAAATGACTAAACCAACGCTAAATATGTCAAGTAAAATTAATTTAGATCACAGAAATTTACATCATACGAGAAAGTGCAATAGTATTAATATAAAATACGACGCAAATACATAACGCCTGAATAGAATATAGATAGTGGTACAAAATAAAACGAAGAAATGATTAACGTGTTATGACTCATACATAGGAACTTAAAAAATTAGGCAACTAAGCAACTGGGAGTAGTAATATATTGTCCGTCAGCTATATTTATAAAAAAAAGCAAATAAACAAAAAAACCGTGAGAAATAAACTTTTTAACTTATCTAGAAAGAATCAAGTCCTCATTACCAGAATGAGAATTGGACACACTCGATTGACGCACGACTTCTTAATGTCAAAGTCTGAATCCCCTATCTGCGAAGCATGTGGAGTTCGGCTAACGGTGAAACACATACTTACAGAGTGCACAAAATATCAGACTCGACGAACTGATAACGAAATATCGGAGGATCTGTCAGAAACGACCTCGGACCTCAACCCGGGGCCATCAACAGGCTTGCTAGTTTTATGACCCAGACCAAATTATGCAGTTGTCTATGAGGGTGTACTGTTTGTGCACAATGTAACCCAAATGTAATAATTTAATGTAACCCAATGGCCTTTGCCGCCGAGGGAAATAATAATAAAAAAAAAAAAAACTTCTTAGTTCTTATAAAATAGTTTAAATAGGTACCCGATACCTATTCCGTTACCCTTATAATGTCCAATACTTCGAAAGGATGACATTTTAAGTCTCTCGAGGCTCTCCACTCTTTACCCAAATGAAATAAGATATTAATTTGCTTTTTTTTGTCATCATTTTGTTTTTTAATATTATAATAATGGGGTAATCGAAAACTGAGGGAAATGTGCTTGAGGCCAAGTGAGTTTATATGTAAATTTGCAGGTGACAGTGACATTAAAATCAGTTTGGGGTCAAGTTCAAGGTTGGCAGCGGAATACTTTCATGTAGCAAATACAATTTAAAACGTGAAAACATTATAATGCATCCGCCGGCGGCTAAAGTACCGTTATTCGGTCATGACCACCTGTTGACGAATAAATAACAATTTGCTTTGTGAATATATAGGTAGTTATATAAAAAAATTCTCAAGCCCGGAACCACGAGTGTCTGCGTAATGACGTATTTACTTTCCTTGAGGTCATGAATCAATCACTTGTCTTTTACGCAGCGCAGCAGCTTATATCTAAGCAAAAATCCGTAGCCAAGTAACGGTTAACGGCTTTTAGTTCCGTTGTTGAACTATATATTTTTATCTTACTGGCATTGTATATTTTCATATTACAAGTGTATCAATGTTATTTTTTTTAAGAACTATGAGTGTGTTTACAAGTTCACAGCCTGTATGACGACACATACATTTTTATAAAACATGTTTTTTATTTCGCATTACAAAAGTTCTACAATAATATCATTGCGTGCAAATTGCTCACATAAGTTACATTTAACTTAGTGTTAGTTTCAATGAAAATAAATGATCAACTGCTAAAATATACTTAAAAAAATAAATACATTATACGTATTTTATTTGGCAATAAATAGCTCACTTCTTAGGACTATACAGGTTTCTGAAAACGTTATTATGATGGTCAAGCCGCGGCAGTCAAAAATGCTGTTTTATTTAAACTACTAATAAACTGGAAATAAATTATAGTTGGGTTTTCCATAATGCTTAAGTTATTACAGTGGTGGAATTTTTCATATTGCCAAATGGCCAACCTCAACAGACGTTAGTAATACTAAAAAACTGCTTAATACAAAAAAATGCCTAAAATCTAAATAGGTTATTCGAGGATATATCCCCTCCTTTGACGATTCTACAAAATAATATATATATATATATATATATATATATATAGACTTGGAATCTGCAACGCCGACTACACCCTACACTGCGTCCACTTGTTCTACGGTTAGACATGGAGTTCATAGAAGCTTTTATGATATTAGATCACTCTCAACTAGAATGACCAACTTTATTCAACTTCCAACAATTAGTGAAAGTGCACTTTCTGCATTTCTTTCCACTTACAAAACTACCCATCCCGTAGCCTATGCCCTATATCCCTTACCTTGTTACCTGTCACAACCACACTCTAGATACACTGTCGCGATGATCGATTTGCAAAAAGGCTCCCAGGAGATCCTTAACGTGCCTAATTCACGGATCTACGGCCATTACGAAATACAGACAGAAGTGTATCTGAAGGCAGATTACAGACCTCCTTACGCCTTGTGTTATAATATATAAAGGCATATCTAGTCGTTCTAGGAAAGTGTGTTGAAAAATACAACTAACGTATGCAATATTTTCTACTATTAGCGTACTACTATTTTCTGTTAATAGTGGAATCAAAAAGAGATAAATGTTTTGGGGCTTATAAGTCATTATTTATAATTTCGACATGAGAATTTGATTGGCTTATTTGCATACCCACTGACGCAAGTATATCTTTAGCTAAATTTCCGTATTCAAGTTAAAACTATTATTTTAAAGGGTAGTTTTAAAGATAACCTTTAAATACCAAATAGCAATATACATATTTTATTTTCCTATTGAAATCAGAATGAATAAATTAAAATAATAACTGGTCAATAACTAGTTTCGATTAAATAGTTATTAGCATATTCGGAATTCATAATACTGTTTCTCCATATCATCATATAAAAAAAGTGAAAACGCGAAAGAAAAAAATAAGTAGTAAAATATTGTAATTGATTGAGTTAAAACAACAAGACAAAAAAGTATAGTACAAATTCGAAAGAATTTAAGTATTAAATCTTATAGACATTTACAGCACTATTTAATATTATATAATATAATGTACATATAGTACACGTTGATACTTAGCCATTGAAAAAAATCATGTTGTTAAATTGGTACCTATAAGGATAAAAAATAAAGAAATGTACATTCTTTGGAATTCGAGGGTGTAAACGTGCCCTTAAACGCCATTAAAACTGGGCCACTAGACCGTGGCCTTGGTTTAACCCTTCAGGCATTGTTCACTACCAACAATCAACCATTAATGTTAAATATACAGTGAGATAATATATATTGTTCATTTTTCGAAGAATGTATGCAAAGAGGATACAAGCGAAACAGCCTTTTCAACAATCAAGGGGAAAACAGGTATGCTGAATGCCTTACCGGTTATACAATATCTTAACGAAAAACTCATTACAACAACGATGTGGTTAATTCTTATGTAATATTATACAAGTACAATAGGAAATTTTAAATTATCTCGCAAGCTTATCTTCGCATATACTTATGACAAAGTATAACAAAATGTAGCCTATAGGTATCCTCATTCCTCAACGTGATAAACAGATTCCATGCTTATTAAATGTCATAGTTTTATAGTTTCAAACGTAAAAAAGGTTGACCTACAATTATTGTATTTTGTGTGTGGGCTGTTAACATACAACAAAGGTCATAAATAATCCGTTACTTTTGTTTTTAAAATTGTCTATACTCCATTTCGTAGGTCACCAGTCACAAAATTATTGGAAAGAACATACTTTGTTTCTTATAAAAGTATTTCAAATACAAACGTCCACATTAGCCCCTTCTTATAACATGCGCTCAAACCGTTCACTCCTAAAAAAAAAAAAATAATAATAATAACAAAACAAAATTGTCTAGTCTATGTATTTACAAACTAAACTATATGGCCAACTTATTAAAAATAGAGCTTTCTGCAATCGATGAGTAATCGGATTGTATGGCTAAATCAAAGTGAAGGTCAATAAAATGAGACCAGTCGAGTTTACAAAATATTCTATGTGGATCATCTACAATGTTAATATAATTGAACACGGTTATATTATAACGCTTTTCAATTTTTAAAACCTCACATGTATTCGTACGGAGAAACAATTTTAAAAAAAAACCTCCATCCGGTTGAAGATTGATTTACCTCTAAGCAACATATTTTGTTAACCGTTATTTAAATAATAATAATTTGAAAAAATTAAAAACAATTTCGCGGGATCCGCCAGTTTATTATACATTTCAACGAAACTCACATTCTATGTTTTGTATACGCTTTTCGGTTGTGCAGTTTAAACTAACATAACAGAATACTTGTGTACAAAGGACTCATAATACACAGCTTGCACGGAAAATGTCAATACTTGAATTAATACTCATGCAACAGCCCAAGTCCCAAACACACGTTCACGCTCGACAGAATAATTTCTACGGTAATATTTTATCCTTCATGGCCGTTGTGCCGGTTGAACTTTTATTCTACCTGCTGACAGACGGACGTTAATACCGTCTCGTAGGCTTCGACCCGCAATGCGTGCCGATCGACACGCGATAAAAGCCTATGCACAATAAGAAAGTATAGTATCAACAGAGGAACGGTGAGAAAGTGTAGGCAAGGATTGCGCCTTGTTGCGTTCGATCACACACGTGCCGATCTGACGTCTGTATCTTTCGCACGGCGGAACGCAGTCGTATGTGGATTGTGGATAATGCCGAAATCACCTTTTACGCGACGTCCGTTCTTAGAATATTATGCAAGATGTCTAATAACTGTGCACGTCTGTTAAAAAAAAAAAAAAAAAAAAAAGTAGACCAATACGTCTATATATAGGAACGCGAGCACCGGAAATCGTACGCTTAGGCATACCTGATTTCCTCGCGATAGGTTCTACCTAGGTAGGAAAAAAAACTGCTCACACAGAGCAAAACGATCTGTCTCGAAGAACATGTTGACAAATAACGGTGTCTAAAACACAGAAATGTCAAATTACTATTTGTGTAATATTTGTGATATTATTATTATTTTATTCCCTCTCCGTTTCATATAATATAGCCGACGGTCGATGTGTGTGTGTGTGTGTGTGTGTGTGTGTGTGTGTAACACTATATACGCGGCGGTGGACGGGAGAGTCGAAGGGAATAAGAATACATGACGACGATAAATATAATATTGGAAAATGTAGAACGCGGTCTTGGGTTCGCAGAAGTGATGTCATCGCCGCGATTCGGCGGTGTCTCAGTGCCGTCCAGTCGACTTGAAGACGGTTTTAGATGTGCGCGATTTTCGTCTTAAGTATTTCAAAGGAAAACAAAAGCGACAACAACGAACGTGTTAACGAGGTATTTTACATTTGTCGCCGCCGCCGCGTTATTAATTAATTAATTAATATAAAAATATCGAGTTAAAAAAAAAAAAAAATTAAATAACTATTATTATAATCGGGTGTGTCTTGCGCTGGAAGATTTGCCTTGTTGGTGGTAAAGGTACTCGGTAATATCATATCGTATAATATATTATAGTAATAATTACTGTAAGAGCAGTGCGCGCGCGGTGCCGTAGTTGTTAATGTGTACGCCGTACGTGTTGTTATTGTTGTGGTTGTTGTTGGTGGGGCGGCTCCCGTAGGTGTCTGCTGGGCGTAGTCTCGCTCATATAGGACTGCCGGCGGTTAGAGGCCGACGCAGAGTGGCTATGGACACCGTCACCGGGGTAGCTGTAGCGTTTATGCTGTTGCTCCTGTTGCTGGTGGCGTACGGAAGACGCAGGACTCGTCCGGGCGGCGGAGGCGAAGTCGAAGACGCCGTCGATGGGACCGGGCACGACCGACTATTGGACGGGCCCGCGGTTTTTCCCGTCATCGGCTGTCTGCACGCCATGGACGGCCATCAGGACAGGCCGTTTCGTAGGCTGGCAGAGCTGGCGCGCCAGTATGGACCCGTGTACAGCATGCGCATGGGTGCTATGCCGTGCGTGGTGGTCAATGATTTCGAGTCCATCAAGGAAGTACTGATCACCAAGGGCGCTCAATTTGGCGGCCGGCCTGACTTCATGAGATACAACGTACTGTTTGGCGGCGATAGAAATAATTGTAAGTAACAATTTCATTAGTAGTCGGACATTATTATACTATATTAACGCCAATTTGTAAGCTACCATAACACTTCATGATAATAATAATAATTATCACATATGGACATTCTTATATCAATGTCTAAACGTAAGACGGCAATTTTTTAATTTATCGCTATTTATTTGAATTTTGGACGCCTAAATGTTTATATTCAATTAGATTTTTAAAGTGAAAACATTAAACACGCCAGATTGTGTAATGACTGGTATGAAAAACGTCAACTCATACCCCAACGTGACTAGTGGTATAAACAATAATATCAAGTATGGGAGTATTATATGTCTGGACTGACTGAGAATTCGATAAAGTGCGATTTTTAATACTGCATTACAAATATATATTATAAAGGGATCAATAGAACATAAGACATTAAGTTAGTTGGAAAACAATTGCAGTTTTGTGTTTTTTTTTAGCTTTAAAAAATGTTTGTATTTGTTATTTTACAATATTATATAATGTTTTCAATTATTAACCATTATTTATAAGCTAAAGATATCTGACATCTTTTGAAACTTAAAATAGGGGAGACTTAGGTAAGATGTGGACTAGTGGTAAGACGACACACTGGTACTTATTGACACTATTATTGCCTTAAGAATGTGCTTAATTCAACAACAAAACATACATTTTTAACTTTAGTATTCAAAGTCAATAGTGCTTATATATTTGCTATTATCTTATCTTACTTATAGTTCTCATTTTACTTAAGTATTATCTATAAAATGTGTTAACTTTTTATGAGTAGGATCGTAGGAAGATAAAAATAATACTACCCCTCTCGTTTAAACGTTAAATGCTAATAATATTAAAAATAATTTGTCATGCCTGGTAATCGATTAATCAACATTTAGTAAATTATTCTTAATTTATAAAGTTAATAAAATACGTACATAAAAATTTAAGTTTTAAAAGTCGATAAAGCTTTTAAAAATACTTAAGGAGGTATATTTTAGAAAATTATCTTATATTGAAAAATAACTAAAATGGACAAAAAAAAAATAACTGCGAAATTGTAATTATTTTCAAAGAAAATAAGTATCTTATGCTAAATTGTCCACCCAGTATTAAATACATGTAGTTTGGTATAAAATTATCTATGAAAGTTTATTGAAAGGTCAAAATATAATTTAAACAATTTTTTTACACTACCAGGTATTATAGAAATTATTACCTCCAAATTAGTGGAATTTTCGATTAATTAGACCCTATTATCATTTTTTCTTACTAAATCGAAAACCTACCTTCAGCTTTTAATTTCAGCTTTCAGTTAATTCTTTTAACTCCCAAAAATTAGTTTAAAGACCATTCTACTTTCTCCTCTAAAGAAGGAAGAATTGCACGAACTTTGAGTTTAATCCTAAAGTTTGATAAATAGTTACCAGTCTAAGAGCCAAACTTACTTTTTATCAAATAAGATAAGATTTATAAATAAGATGCAAACAATTTAGTACTTTTTGACAAAACAATAATTTATATAATTAAAGCAAACATTAAATTTTTTTGTTCTATAGACTATTTTGGTGCAGGCGGGTGGCAGAGTGAGATAAGGCGGCAGTGTATCAACGCACAGTCGCCGGTTCAAATCTCGGCCACTGACGGTTTGTTCCTCCGGGTGGGCAACTGTCTGGGGGAAAAAACGGCCACCTGCACCTCTCTCTGGGGCCAACTTGTTTGGTAGCCTTAGGTCGGCAGCCAGCTCTAAGCCCAAAAATACCAAATCTAAACCGTCTAAGCCCCGATTGGCGGGAATAATAGACGTTAAACGTAAGGAGAGAGAGAGAGAGACTATTTTATAGACGTCTATTATAAGAAATTATTACTCTATATTAGTCTTAGTATTACTCTAAACAATTAATATATTATACCAAATAAAATATATCATAGGAACCTATCAAATATAAGTTCTATAACTAGTAAATTTGAGAGCTTTGACCTTTGAATTAGCTCTATGGTCGTATCAAAGACAGTAGGTATTGAATGCCTTTAAACATAAAACCGTACACATATGAAAATTATAATTTTTATAGTTATACCGCGACTAGCTGGTAAATATCCTTAATAAAAATGATCAAATTTCAAATTAATTTCCAACTGTTTGTCCAATTAGAATGGCAGCGTCGAAAACACATCTATAATCAAAATAAATGTATGTGACATCATTTATGAATCTTTCTATATTATCTGAGAACAGATCAGCGTTTTCTTTTTACTACATTCAGGGTATTTTTTTTTTATATATATAAAATTGAATGTACAGTAGGAAACAATAAACAAAACGATCGACGAAAAATAGGCACGAAATCTATATATGACATTACTTCTATTGCTTATAAGCGAAAACAAATTATTATTAAATAGGTTATGGTCTACGGTAGCAATTTGTTCTTTTTAAGCAAATTTGTCAAAATAATGACATCAACAAAAGTCGAAAAAATATTTCATGAACTAATTAGTAATTATGGTAGTATGATTTATAAATCAATAAATAAATATTTTTTCGAAAATGATCTCTTGCATGTTAAAATAATACAATTATATATAGGTAATATTAATTTTACATTTTTTATTAAGTATTAAAATGGAAATTCAAGTATTTACTAATAAAATGCTATATTATATATATATACTAAAAATATGTTCAGATAAATGCGTTTTATTTACATCTCCAAATATCTTAATTGACTACTTAAAATAGGTATCGTTGCATGGTTCGCAATATAATTTATTATCAGATAAGTATTTTTTTATTTAAGGGGTTCTAGTATAGGCAAAAATGATACTCTAGTGTCATAGGAAAAGTAAGATTTAAAACCGTTTTATTCATAAAATGACATAATTAGTACAAATTAATTTGAACAATACTATAAAAAGTATTACAAAATTTAATTATCACTGTAGGTATAATTCATGGGTGCGTCAGTTAAAGAGGTTAAGTCAACTGTCATTATTTTATGTAAAATTAGCTGTAGTCTCCTTAATAGTTTATTCTAAAATCTGAAATAAAAATATGTATACTTACATTATGTATAATTTTTATTTAAATATATGCTGAGCATAATATTGCTATAGTTATGTTTAAATGTACAACACTTTTATTAATTATATGGATCTATAAATTAATAAACAAGTTTATTAACCTAAGCTCTTAAATTGAACTTAATATAGCGTAGTGATCATGACCTTGGACTTTGGTTACTATTCAAGGCTCGAAAACCAAACTGGATTGCTATATTTGATTATTAAACTATTATTTTGAAACAACAGTTGCGTCTGTTGATGTTTATGTATATTCACAAAAAATAATAACAGGTATAACAATTGGTAAGTTTGAAATTTGTATCATGATTAAGACCATTGTCATTTTCGTGAAGTATTCGACCCAACAGTAAACATATTATACACAGTAGAAACTGAAATGTGAATTTAAATAATAATAAATTATAGTGATCCAAACTTTAATTGTTCTCATTTTTTTGAACAGTTTTAAATATATTTGTCATTATGTTAAAGTATGTTTACCTACATTCGATTGTGAGTGCATACGTGATACTGAATGTAAATCATGTTTGTCAATTGTTACTTATCTTATTCTACCAAAAGTTTGAATTAAAAATCATTGTTATGGATAAAACAAATTTAAATTTAATTTTTATACTATACCACTAGGTACTACTACTTGCACTGACAAATTAATTTAATGTTTTTTCCCTAATGGATAATATTAACTAAACTACTAGAATCTAGTTAACATTGTTCTATCTAGTGTAGGCACACAAGTATCTGCACGAAAACATTGCAGCTGCATCGCCTTATAAATTTGGTTGAATAAATTGAATATACTGAATAATAATAATGAATATTTGGTTGATTTGACAATCAAACGTTTTATACTTAACCTCACCGAACATTAAGTTTATTTAAGTTTAATTCGCTGAATTTTCATTTAAAAGTATTATTTAATTAAGTCAACCAAAAATGTTGTAATCATTTTATTTTCAGTGTGTTACAGCCTACAGCCCACAAGTTTATGATTATCATCCCTACGATGTAATAAACTTATAATCCGTTCTAAAATTATAAAAAAAAAAACAATATAAATATCTATATCTTAAACCAGTCATAAACAATTTTGCTTTCGTCCACCATCTAGTAGTTACATTTTTAAAAACAAATAATAGTTTAGGAAGTTTAAAGTATATCATAACAAATACCTATTTACTATCTAATGTTTGTTGAATATTATGATATACTATATTGTTTTATCTACCTGAAACTATAACAGTTGACAATAGTTTAATAACAAACAATAGTTAATTGTAATATAGTTATTACACTGCCTTCTCTAAACTAAAAATATTTTGTAATACAGCGTAATAAGTTTTTTGTAACTTGTAAGAATGTATTCGTAATAATTAGTAAAATTAAGTGTAGGTATACAATATACATGGGAAGTAGATTGATATAGGTACCAGACATTAGCTGAAAGATCTTCTTAACTTTTCACTAAATTATCTTTTAATGATATAAATAAAAGTATAAATTAGCACTTAATTTAACGAGTTCAATTATGTTTCATTTGAAATCAAGCTATTTTGTATATTAATATATAATATAAAATCAAGTGAAATAATATTGTAAACGGTGGTTTTTGCTAAGTTGTACAAGATATGTATAAATATCGTGGAGTATCTACTTATATATTTCTAATCAAGCCCCTAAAATTGTAATTTACATAAAGTATTCACATTGCGTAGTACGTACGATTCTTATTTCTTTTTAAAAAGTTTTCGGACGGTATGTTTTTAAAAATTATTCTGTAAATTTACCTAATTGCTTAATAATAATACTGCTATCAAGATACATTTTAAAATACCACTCTTGTTTTCAATTACCTTTATTCTCCTTCACTTCGTCCATAACAAAGTAAAAATTAGCATACTTTGAATCATAACAATAAAATAGTAATTTATAGTCATAGGCGGAAATCCCAGTGCGATTCATAGCGTCCCCCGTTACACCTTAATAATTTGCTGTACAAATGATTTTTCTACTTGTACAATAATTGTTGATAAAGCTCTTTAAGGCCAAACATTTTACTATAGTGCTCATATGAAGTAACTTATAATTGCTAACTTAAAACATTTAAGATACATTTGAACGAAAAAAGGTTATAGTTATAATAAAAATGTTTTGTTTCCATATTTTTTGGGCCTACGTTCAAACGTATGAATTCATTTTAATGTAATAAATAATAATAAAAATGCTAATAAGAATAAGTTTAATATCGATCATTAAAATTTAAGTACAATATATTTGTTGACACGACAGAAGTTAACAGACACGTTGTTTTCATGTTTACAGCGTTGGCTTTGTGCGACTGGTCGTGGCTTCAAGAAACTAGGCGCAAAATCGCGCGAATGTATTGTTCGCCGAAAGTATGCTCGTCCAATTATCAACTGCTAGACTCTATAGCGTCTGAAGAATTAGACGTGCTTCTCGATTCATTGGCGCATGCTTGTCCCGAACAGGCGTACCAGTACCACACTGTGCAAATGAAACCATTGTTGTTGATGTCGTGCGCCAACATGTTCGTTCGTTTCATGTGCACTAAGCAGTTTGCGTACGAAGACCCCGAGTTCCGGGATATGGTACGGACATTTGACGAGATATTCTGGGATATAAACCAAGGTTATGCGGTGGATTTCATGCCGTGGTTACGGCCGTTTTATTCTAACCACATGAACAAATTGACAAGGTGGTCCACGTCGATAAGACAGTTCATAATGAAGTCTATCATATCGGAAAGGAACTCTTTTGTGGTGACCGGTGACGACGAATCGGACGAAGACAAAGAACCCCGTGATTTTACGGATGCCTTGTTGTTTAGCCTCCGAAAAGAGCCGGGTCTTAGTATGCAACACGTATTATTTGAACTGGAAGATTTCATTGGCGGTCATTCGGCTGTCGGCAATTTGGTCATGCTTGTGCTTTCCATGATCGCCACCAGGCCAGCCGTCATAGAATCCATCCGGGCGGAAGCCGAAGAGGTGACTGGTGGAAGTCGCGCAGTACGATTGTACGACAAACCGGATATGCCATACACCGAAGCGACCATGTTCGAAACGTTAAGAATGTTATCGTCTCCAATAGTTCCGCATGTGGCTACAGAGGACACATCAATTAAAGGTAAAACTAAACACAAATAGTTTATGATCGCCATGATACGAGTAAACGCTTATTCTCTAATTTTGTTTTACTTAATATAAATTATAGTATCGTGTTCATACAGACGTCAACATTGGTGTACAGTGTAAATATACACAGGGCTGTACTTATACCCACAAAAAAATGTTAAGCTTCTCCAAAATTTAGCAATTTAATTGAGCAGCCTCCAAACACAATTTTGTTAATATTATGGGAAGTGGGAACCCTTTTTTAATTTAGTTTATGCTTCTCGAAACATTTAGGCTATTAACTATTTGTACTTGACCAGATCACGTGCATTATTTTATTAAGACGTTTCATTTATTTAGATTTCAAAATTGCCAAAGGCACGTGCATCATCATTAACAACCACGAGCTGAACACCAGTGAATTGTACTGGGAAAATCCGAGTGTGTTCGATCCGAATCGATTCATCCAACGAAAGGCCGGTGCAAAACCGTCCGTACGGAAACCTGAACATTTCTTGCCGTTCAGCACGGGCAAGAGGACGTGCATAGGTCAGCAACTGGTCTCCGGATTCGGATTTGTTTTGCTGGCCGGCATAATCCAGAAGTACGACGTCAAAGGTACCGACCAACTGATACTGCCCGAGGCACGACTCGCTTTGCCTCCGGACACGTATCCTTTATTGCTGAGGCCGATTAAAAAGTCTCAGTAAAACCATAAACGCTGACATTGCCATTCAAAAGACTGTTTTTATGCATTTTCTTCTAAGGTATTCGACGGTTTTCACTTTTGTCTTAAACGTCATTTAATAGCTTAGTTCATAAGCGACATAGAATAATAATGCTATTATATTTGTAAAATAGTAGGCATATACGTTTAAGTCCCTACATTGTTATTGTGACTTGTATTTAAGTTTTTAAGATATTAATTATTATATGTATGTACATGTACTTTTATTATTCAAGAGATTGACCAACTATGACCAGCAAATTGCTTTAGTAACGTCATTACTTTTGATTGTTTGTAGTCATTTTTGTAAAAAGTCATCATAAGTTTCCAATCTTTTTTACAAGTATACATTCACTTTTTTTAATCTAGAATCAGATGACAGATTATATGGTCGAGTTTTTATGGTAATATTATCAATTTAAGAGTGAGATATATTTAATCTATTTATTGGGAAATTAACATGGCTCTATACTAGAAAATGTATAAAAGAAAAAAAGACAAATTTATTGAATTAGATAAATAGGCCGGGTCATGCTTAGCTCCTATCACTATGTACTGTCGAGATCGACGTACGAAATTTATCTTACAGTTCCTAAATAAATACACAAATTCATAGACTGAGTCTCTTAGGCTCTAAAATTGAGATTATTTATTGACTAAATACATTATATAATAGTGTACATTATACAAGCTGATCACGGCCAAGGCCAATTGATTTTTGTTACTCGCATTTAATTTACTATCTTAAAATAAAATGTAAATAAAATACGCCGTATTAACATTTTATAATATCAACCATTTTACGAATAGTCCCATCAATAACTATGTATATTTAAAATTTTAGCTATTGTTAGTGTAATTTTGCACCAGGTCATTCGTCTTAATCAAACTAAGGAGAATTGGATCAACGTGTTATTTTGCAACGTTTACACGAAATATGATTATTTTAGAATAATTATATACATATAAATAAATAATAATAAGTTCTAGGTTAGTAGATAAGACGATAGAGTAAATTATAAGTTTTCATAATTTCATATTAAAAAACGCTATGTTCTATGCTGCGATCATTTTCAAGTTAAGTAATTAAAATTAAGAACATAGCAGTTGCCACTTGTCAGTTAGCAAAATTATTTAGCCTAATGATAAATATTCGAGTATTATAGCTGTATATTCAGTTTTATGAAATTATGCAATGAGTGCATGACGTATGTTTAGTAAAATAATTATAAGATATTTTAATAGGTTTTTGCTTACTACAAAAATTAGTAAGAAATAATATTTGTATGTTTTTTTGTATAGTTAATTTTGTCTGGGTTTATATGTACCTAGTAGTACCATTAATTATAAATATTATTTATAATCAATGGTAGTACCTATTAAATGATCTACTTAGTGACATACTTAATGATCAGCCTACTTTAGAAGAGCTTGTATTATTAATAGTTAATACTATAAATAAATTCAAGATTCCTAAATTTTAAACATATTTCACAATAGTTGTCTAAATCTAAACGTCTCAGGTAAATGAAATTAAAACTGTAAATTCGTTACATACCTAGACATGTATACAGTCTACTAACAATATTTATTTTTAGTGTAAACAATTACACAACTTCACGTATATAACTATTTGTAATTTTAATAGTAATAATTTAATAAATAAATAATTTTTAAAAAATCTTTAAAAGAATAATTTAAGCTTAATTAAAACAATAAGACCATTCCGAGATTGAGATAGAATTAACACCTACTATACATTGCATTGTGAATAGTTAATTTTGTTATAACAGTTGTAGTTAATAGTATGAATTAATAAACATGTTTAACTTAATGTGTTTCTATAATTAAAAATAATTAGTAACTAGGTACCTACCTAATTGATTTGTACTTGACTACCTATTTTTTAATTTTATAATTTGACAAATAGCATTTAAGGTGAATTATTATTGTAAAGTGTTATTTATTTATTCTGTAAATAATATAATTTATATCTACTTGTATTAAATATAATTTGTAATTTTATAATAGTTTGTTTATTTATACTATTACGCATATTGACATTAATTGGTAATGATACTCATAACCGAAATAACCTATGTGAAACATTATTAATTTTTATCAAACAATCATTTAAAGTCTGTATTTTTTTTTAAGTCGGAGGCCGGGTTTAGTGGGGGCAACTCTTGAAACTTCAATGTAAATGTATACGTTTAATTCGTTTTTAAATTAATAATAATTTTCTGAAAATGTTGCTGGTTGATAACCAATTTTGAGTTAGTAATTTTAGTTATTAGAGTTAAAATTTTATGATAGAAGCTGGGAAGAAGAATGGAGTGTAGTATTATTATCTGCGCACATTACTCAACCGCACTTCACCTACCATCCTATATTTTAAACTCTAATTCTTAGAGTCACATTACCATTGAACAGTTATCTCCCCCCTTCTGACTGAAAACAAATTCAAAAACTTTAATCAACTTTGATAAAAATTAAAAATGTTTCACAACATGTCATTTTATCAAAATTTTAGTACATCATCAAAAAATCAGGTGTTACATGCAATTTTGAATACCCTGTATAGTATGTAGTGTCTATCGTGTAACATTAAAGCTGACAGATTTTTTAAACCTCAAAGCAATAACGTACATACAAAACAAGAAATTGATTTATTTTTATTTTTGAATCACCAATAAACTATTTTATCAGTTAAATAAATAAAATAATAAAAATAAGAATATTGTACATTAATTAATATCTTAACATTTAAATAATATTACTATCTATCCACTGGTGTATCACAGGAGGTAGTCTATAATAGTTATTGGATGCTAATCTCACTTTATCCAAACTTACAAAGCATTTATAGAGCCGATATTCCTTCAAAACATTTTTATTTTCAATAACTGCAACAGGCAGTATCAATTGAATTGTCTAGATAAAAAAATGGACAAAATACTTAATTGTGAGTTCTGAATTTGAATGTGGACAAAATAATATAAACTACTTACAGCTATTCTTTCAAAAGCTTTCATTACAACTTGTCGTTTTGTTAAAAGTAAAGTTGAATTTTGCAAGGCAAATTTACAATAGCGAGCATAAATCATCTCAAAATTAAATGGCTCTTTATCATAAATTTCTAAATGATGACAAATTGAAATAATCAAACAAAATTCTAGTACCGAGAGCCCTATTGAAATGAAGAATACATTAAATTATTTAATATTTAACACAAAATAAATACAATTTTACCTGTTAAATTTGTAAGAATAATATCTTTTTTAAATAAAGTGGTATAGCAATCAATCATATTTTTTACTGTTAATACTTTGTCTTCAGTTACATTGGATAGCGCCATAAACTGGAAAAAAATATAGTAAAAATAAATTTATTATAACGTTTTTTACTAAGTACGAATACTTAAAATAATTATTATGCATACAATTAAAGTATTCAGTTTCGTAATACTGTTGCTTAATTTCAATAAATCCTTGGTCATATTTTGGATTCTGCTATCAGTTAGCAATGCATCTATATTATTATTCCAATTATCACAAACATCTTGTTTCAACTTGTATTCTTTGTTTATTTTTAAATTCTTTATACTTTCTAAAAGCTTAGTATAATCAGTCGGAGGTTTAAGCATAATAAGGTTATGAGAAAATCGTGACTTCACACGTTTTTCTAATAATTCTGTGACATCAATATGTGATGTCAGACCAATAATACATAATGGATTCTAAAACAAAAGAAAATTTGTTTTATATATTTAATAAACAGATTAAATTTTTTATTATGTACAAAAAAGATGCTAAAGGATCTTATCTTACTATTAACTAAAAAAAAATATGAATTAGTATTTAAATGTACCCAGATTAAAGAGTAGTCTAAAAACAGTTTCTATATTTTACTCAGGGTATAATTAGTATTAAAGTATTGGTTTCCATGATTATTAACTAAGAAAAAAAAAAGCAATATATTCATTTTGTCCCTTTTAGTTTCAATGAAAAGCCAAGTAAGTATTAGTTTTACAGTGTTTTTTAATAAGCCATTTAAGTATTTGACTAAATAATCACTATTAAGATAACACTTTGATACCATTTAATAAATTATAATTATAACATGGATGTATATTCTCTTCAAAATTTGAAAATATGCTTGTTATATTCTCTAACAATATTAGTAAAATATGCACACAACCATTCTTTTAGGTTCTTGGTACTATGAATTGTGAGCATATCTTACTCCTATAGCTGTTCTGCATACCATAAAAATATGTTTTACATTAAAACCCAGCTCTTCCTAATAATTTATAAAATATTTAATTAAATTTAATAAATTACATGTTGTATAAGCAAAAACTAAAAACTATACATTAGATTAATAAAAAATATGGAGCTTTCTTCTATTGAATTACATTTATTTTCAGACTTTACTATCAAGTTGTAATCAATCTGGAATTTAAAACAACCGTACGCAATAATTATAAAATAAAAAACGCAGCAGTTTAAATGTCCATTAATGTGAATATTTTAAATTACATATTTATAATTAGTGAAATATGCAAAAATTTGCTTTTTTGTAAATATATTCTCATTAAAATATAGACAGAAATTTGTTTAATATTTCAACATAAATTGTATATTTTTTATTATAACTTATTTTTGAATACCCAGATTATAAATATATCATTAAATAATTGGATGTAGAAAAGTTAAGTATAAAGAAGATATCTAAGCTTCATAACTAAGAATAATGACATTTACAGTATGAGGAAATAAATTATATACAGGGTAGGACAGTGAAACGGGCAATTTTAAAATAACAAAAAAAAAAACCAAATCATTTTTTTTTTTTTAATACATTTATTCATACCATCTGAAAGTATATAAAAAAGCCTTTAAAAAGTGTTAATTTTGTATTTAATTTTCATGGACAATATCCGCAAGATGGCGTCCATTTCAAAGCAAACATTCGTCAAGGCGTCTTTTAAAACTGGACATGACATTTCGTAACATTTCCCGAGAGATTTGTGTCACCTCTTCTTGTATTCTTTGTTTGAGATCGTCAATTGTCCTCGGTGTTATTTGGTATACTTTATTCTTAATATACCCCCACAGAAAAAAATCACAAGCTGTCAAATCAGGCGATCGAGGCGGCCAAAGAATATCCCCATTTCGAGAAATTATACGGTTTGGAAACAATTCTCTCAGAATATTCATACTCACTTTAGCTGTATGACTCGTAGCTCCCTCCATCTTGTTGACATCTGTGAATACGGGCCTATGATCCCTAAAGATAAAGCACACCAAACCGTTACTTAAGAGGAATGTAGCTCTCTGAGAAGTTCACGAGGGTTTATGTCACTCCAGTACCTTAAGTTTTGTTTACTTACATATCTGGAGAGGTGAAAATGAGCCTCGTCACTCACCCATAAATTATGGACAATATCTTCATTTTCATTTATAGCAGCCAAAAAATGTTTTTGACTGCCATGACGAATGCTAGCTTCGAAATGGACGCCATCTTGCGGATATCGTCCATAAATATTAAATACAAAATTAACACTTTATAAATTCTTTTTTATATACTTTCAGATGGTATGAATCTCTCTCTTCTCTCTTACGTTTAACGTCCATTATTTCCACCAATCGGGGCTTAGACGGTTTAGATTTGGCATTTTTGGGCTTAGAGCTGACTGCCGACCTAACGCTACCAAACAAGTTGGCCCCAGAGAGAGGTGCAGGTGGCCGTTTTTCCCCCCAGACAGTTGCCCACTCGGAGGAACAAACCATCAGTGACCGAGATTCGAACCGACGACCGTGCGTTGATACACTGCAGCCTTATCTCACTCCGCCACGCGCCTGCGCATTTTCAGATGGTATGAATAAATTTGTTTAAAAATTCTTGTTGGTTTTTTTTCCAGTTTTTTTAAAATTGCCCGTTTCACTGCCTCACCCTGTATATAGGTTAAAGCCAGTGCTATCAATGAAGGATAAGGTTGATGAAATCATATGGAATAGGGATTTTAAGCATTAACAGTTATTGATTTCATATTTTTTTTATAAATTTCAGTTTTGAGTTCTTGAAAACAATTTACCTGTTGTGATTGAACAGCATCAAATAAATTATACAACAAAGTCTGGTTGGTGTGAGAGCAAAATAAGTGAAATTGATCTAAGACCATTATAATAGACTTTGAATCAGATCTGTCTCCTGCTCGGAAACTGTCCAGTAAAAAACTTATGTTATCTTAAACAAAAATGCATTTGTTGATTGCTTTAAAAGTGCATATAATAATCTCAATATATAGAGGGTAGCCAGCGTACTAAAATGTGTTAGTCTGAATTACTTCCAAAGTTATAAGCAAAAACTTTAACTTCAATTTTTTTTTATTATGCAGTTTTTGATATAGTCTTTTATTTATTATTAAAATTTAATGAACTCATACCAGCAAAAGATCCTTCAACATTAGCTCCATCTAAATTATCTATCTGTAGTTGTTGTATTATGCTTTTTAATGCTAAATTATCATCAGTATGAATTAGACCATCTAAATGAATCTCTGTATGAGACTCTGGTAACAATGTTTTTAAAACAGATCGAACTAACTAAAACAGTACAGAGTTGTTAATATAAATGATTAGTAAATAATTATAGTTTAAGTAATAAATATCATTATTACTTAAAACTATATTCTTATTACAAACAAATTTTAAATGTAGGTACCACAGATTTTCCACATCCTTTTGGTCCTAGAATAATAACAGAATCACTCTCTCCAAATTCTGTAGTTTTTTTTATAATTTGTAAAAGCTCTTGTTTTTCTTCATCAAATCCATTTAGTTTATTATTAAAAATTATATTTCTTTTTAATTCTGCTACAAAGTGAACCACATTTGTTCCCATTGTAATCTGAAATAAAAAATCATACTATAACACCAGGAAGTCTAATAAATAAACACCAACACCCTATATACAATTTTGATATTTATTTATAATTCATTTTTAGCTCCGATGTGTAGCTGAGAAGGTATTGTTTTTATAATGATGTGTTTTTATATCATGTGTTTGGACCAACAATATCTTTTAAGCCACTGAATTGATTTCTTCATGTAGCAAGTCAATAGATAAGAAATCATACCTAAAAAATACTTTAATGGGTCAAGAATTTAAAAAGTTTATCCCATCCCCTTCAAAATTAAGAAAAACACCCAACAAATTACATATTTTGCAACAGGACTTTTTTTTAAACTAGTTCCTAATTTCTATGGAATATTCTTTAGACATAGTAGTATAATACTATCGAAAACATTGATAAACCAAATAGTATCATAAGCTCTTTCTACTTAGCTTATAGAAGAGCCCTGTAATAGCTCAAAGACTACATAAAAAATGTACCATATTTTCTATAAACTTCAAAGTTAATTTAAAAAAAATGTTTTATTTTTTTGTGTTTTCTTATGTAAAAAAGTTGATAATTTTATATCATAAATAGTTTTTTGTATAACCAGAAAGAAAGAATAGCGGTTGCTGGTAAGTGTTAATACAATTGACAGTTACCAATCATGACACTGCAATTTAATCTTTCACCTACATGGAAAATCATGAGTGAAAATAATAATAATTGACAAATGACAATCTTGGTTGATCATGTATGGGTTGAATACTGTGCAATCCAAAAGTATTGGGAACAGGATTCTTACTTAATAGACAATTATGGTAGCCAACAACTGTTGTAAGAATTATAAATTAAATTCCAGTGAATATCTATTAAACTACCTTAAAGGGATTGAAGCGGTCAGTTTTTTTGACATTTTGGACCTAATAACCTGACACAATTACGCCTACTTGAGATAATTCAATTAAAATTCTGTAAAAATATTTCAGTTTATCGACCTCTTTTCTAGGTTATTGTAGGAATCAATTTTAGATATTTCAATTAAAATTTTGTTAAAATTCTTTTGAATTTGTAGTATTCCCGTTATTGACTTTTTAAGTAATTAAAACAGTTAATCAAAAATTGACTTCTACAATAACCTGGAAAAAAGGTGGATAAGCTCAAATATTTGTACAGAATTAAAATCTGATCATTATAATTATAAGTAGGTAGGCACAATTTTGTCAGACTTTTATGTCTACATTAGTTCCTTAAAGGAACAAAATAGCTTTTACTACTAGCTCTGATACTTGCCTACACGACAGGGGGGGGGGGGTGCTTAGAAGTATTTTGAAAAAATAAACAGCTGGACTATAGCTCTACCTAGTTACACATACGACATTAATTAATTAAAAGGACATCATTGTCATCTTAATGTTTTTATTGATATTTGTATTTCTACTATCTATGGATTCGCATCAAAGCGTTTTTTTTTAGATGAAGGTAATTTAAACACTTTCATCAGTTATAATAATCCCTGAAGACCTGTGACCTCCCTGATTCCAACAACAAAATATAACTACTATTAATAATCAAATATTATAATATACGAGTTGATGATCAAAAAATTCTCTTTTTTTTTGATACCTACTTGCCGTAAAGATAAAATAATTAAAACGTAATTAAACTACAAAATCTAAACTTTAAAAAATTGAGTTAAAAATTTATTAATGTACCTATGAATTTTTATTGCTCTTGAGAATAATTCAGAGTTCAATAATTAATAAAAAACAAAAGAATTTTAAGGAACACAACAGTTACCAACGGGACACCGTCATAACTCATACAACTAACAACACACTGCACAATGTCTTTAGACAAGAACGTCTACATTCCACAATAGTGAATACTGATTATATAGTAATTACTGAAATACTGATGATTGAATGAAGTTAAACAGACTTTAACTAAACAAATGAAAAAAAAAAAAACAATAATTCGCTTAAGTTATAGAATAGCAATAATATATTCTGTATTCATGACAATCGGTCTTTGGCGGTTATAAATTGATAACTCGATAGCTATCACTTATCAGCCATTTAAGAAATATTTGAGTTGGTGACACTGCATCGTATTTCCATATGGTACTACGCAAAATGGCGTTTCCCGATTCCCAATACATTTTTGGGATGTCTTCACTCTTCACCCCCTTCAGTTGTGTGTCCGCTAGTGTTGTGGTTTTTTGTTTTTGTGCTGTGTGCAGCATATTTTGTTGTCTGAAGGAAAAAAACTAAATCATGTTGAAAATTTCGTATTGAGAATTTTTATCAAGTGCCTGCTGGAACCAATAGAACATGGACGGTGATATTTCGAAAAGGTAGGTAATAATCTTTAATGAAAACGATTTGTGTCGACGTGTGTTATGCATGTAATTGTACATTTGGCCACAACCTTCACTCTCACTGCTGCGAAACAAACGAGTAAACGTTATCATATCTACGCTTGATCTAAATTAAACATTTGTTTTATAATTATATATTTTTTTTGTGAATTAATATTACTATATTACTTAAAGGTATGGTAGGTTTGTGCTAACCATAGTATTGATCTTATAAAAATACGAATATAATATAATATACTAAACACTGTTTCTGCGATATTGATGTTATCAGTGGTATGTTTATTCAATTGTATTTACATCACCCGTCCATAAAAACTGTCTATCTGTGTAAGTCACATATTTCGATGCACAATCTACAACATAATGTAGGTAATACAAAAATATTTAAGTGTTGCCATGTTATTTTAAAATCATTGTATTAATGAAATGATTTAATCAATCACCCATAATGTAGGTGTATGGTATCTATTAATTTTTTTTTATGTACCATATATTTCATAAAATATTCTTATATTATCCAATCCAAAAAATAACATACCGGTTTTGCGCATTACGAATAACGGCAGGCGGCCGCTGAAAGGCAAATTTCTCCTACTCTTGCCAAAATGTGGTGCCAATAGTACCCAACGGTCGCTGTCCAAGCTACAAATCTAACCGAAGCACGTCCCAGTGGGAGGTGCTAGGCGAGAGATGCGCGCCGTCGAACGTATACCGGTCGCCGCCCGGTAGTTCTCTTTTGGAATAAATAAATAGAATTGGAACAAATGTACTTTACCGGACACCCTTTTTTTTTTTAAATGTTTTCTTTGCCATATTATAGTGTTTTTAACGCTGATTACGAATCTGAAGTCAGAATATGGCGGACTCCGTTAGTTCGAAAGTTATAGCTAGTTGAAGTTTGCATATTTCCTCTATGTAACAATACAAGACAGTAGCAGCCGAGCCGTGCAGCGCCGTCAGGAGGCGGCAATAATTGATAAGGATGCAGGTCTCCAAGTGTTTTGGTACTCGGTCGCTTTGCTCTGCTAACTAAAAATATCCTAGGTTTGCAGGCTACAGTCTAGGAGGAGGTCACAGGTTTAAAGTAAAGTTGGTTTAAAACGGCTCTAGAAGCCATGTCATGTGTCCGGCATAAAAAAAAAAGTACCCCGAAGGTCGCGTACTTGTAAATAGGGTAAATATGCAAATTTCAACTAGCTATAACTTTTGAACTAACAAATGTTTTCACAAAATGTGTCTTCTTCTGGAAAGTTCTTGACCGGCAAATCTCCCTCCACTGTCAGTCGTTCCTAGACGTCAGCCAAACTCAAAAAACTCAAAATTTAAATTTAAAACAATATATTCGCCAAAAGGACAAAAACCGTATTAAGAGAATATATATAAACTCGGTAGCCTTAAGCATTCGCATGCACAGATTTTTCGATTGACCCCCAGCCCAATAACATATCCATGTAAAAATCTGTCGGGATACATACAATATATATTATGTTTTATATATACTTATAATGGTTGTATCAATTTTTAGGTTGAAATGAGTCTGATGGCTTTCCTATATTGGTAAATTCATAAATGGCAGACACTTGAAAAGTTCTTTTATTCTATCAGTTGGTCCAATATTGAGTAATATATATATATATATATATATATTATTTTACCTTCAATATTGTCTGCTCAAGTTTATTCAATGGCTGATCAGTTAAGAGAAACAAGTACCACAACTAGTGACCATGGAGATAACTGGCCAAATACAAAGCTTTCTACAGATAATGATGTACCTGATGACGTTTCAAATGGTCAGGAGACTCATAGTTTTGCGGATATCCTAAGTACAGCATTTACCGCTACTGGACCTGTTCCAAGTCCTCCTGCAGAAGTAGATTCAAGCATGCATCTAGGTAAGTTGAAATCTCTGTCATTTTAAAATTAATTTGATAAAATATTCAGTTCTTTTTTACTGTTTTATTTTATGAAATAATTAAATGTTCAATAATATAATAAAAATATAAAATTGTTCAACTGTAAATGATTTCAAAACATATATTTTAAGTACTATTTTTTTTTGTTCCTTGTAAATTATTAAACTATTTTAATTTATATTATACTCCCATTGATTTTTTACTCCCATTTTTACTTTTTTTTATAAAAAATGTTTGTGTGAATATTAGGTAATGATATGGACTATGATCCACTGTTTGCTGATGGAAGTGATTTAGAAACTGAAGATGCACCTCAAGAATTTTCTCCATTGAATTCTGATATTTGGCGATATGGAAATACGCTTATTGAGACTCCTTGGTCTGTGCCACGTACAGATGAAACATCCAGTCGAAATGTCAATCATTCTGCACCTACTGCTCCGACATCATCAGAAATAGGCCGCAAAAGGTAAATTTTGTGATGACAATAACTTTGTGTAGTTTGGGGTGTAAAAAGTTTTGAATAAAATTACGAAATAAGTCTACATAAACAACCATTTTTTTATTACTAAAACTTAAGTATTTGCCTGTTTTCTCTTATAAAAAATATATTTTTTAACTTAAAACATAAAAAAATATATTTTTTTAACTTGAAACATAAAAAAACAACATTTTTTTAACTTAAAACATAAAAAAACAACATTTTTTTTCATTTATTGTAATTTTGTATTACCATGAAGCTTTTATATAATGTATTAAGGTACACTATATTATCTAATAGTATAATTATTTACTTTGTGGTAATTTATCTATATATCTTTTTATTCAAAGTGACAATAACAATTTTTAAACAAAATTCTCTAAACATATTTAGAGTATAGCAAAACATAATGTTAAACATTACCTTTATGACTGCTTAAGTGTATAATTTGTTTGTTTAATGTGTTATAATTGTTAAAAGTATTTAATTACAATGTTTTTTTGAAATACCATAGTAACATACATAATTAAAATATCACTATTTATAAAAAAAAATAAACGTTTATTATACATTGTCGTCATGCAAAAACTGACTAAGTGTATTGTTATATTTTTCGTTATACTTTCGTCTTACAATAATGTAGTTCAAATAATGTATTTTATAATGTTATTTAACTTGGTCACTTCTTGCACATAGTCAGCGTTTGCATGATGAATATGTGCGTGTGTGTATATATATACACCTAAAATATTATAAAATGTATATATATTTATTAAATTTATGGTAGTATCAATATTATATACTAAAAAACTTTAGTCAATTGTTACTTAAACTTTAATACATGTTAATTTCATTAGATCTTTATTGTCTGGCGACAATAATTTACGAATGAAAACTGGAAAACCTGATACCAATCGTTCATTTAGTTATCCTCGTCACCAAATGGCTAATCGAATTTATAGGCCACAACGTTATAGTCAGGATCAGGTGCCTCCTACTACTTATACCTCTGCTGGTAACCATGAAAGATATAAATTTTCTAATAGACCTCTTCATACTACAACGGTTCCTAGTGATCATTTAGTAGCCAGTTCTTCTAATCAATCAAGAATGGTTAATCCACAAACATCAACTAGTAAGCACTTATTTTTATTTTGTTGTAAAATTAATACTCTTAACTGTATTTAATTGCTTAAAATTTGAATTATTACTGGTTTTTAAAATATCAAACGAAATATTTTAAATAACAATCAAAATTGCTCTTAGTGTAAATTTAATGAAATTATTATAATATACAACACTTTATATGAATATATTTAAAAGAGCCATTGTTTTTTTATTATTATTGTTGCTTTATTAGATGATGAATATACAGTTTTTGGTATGAATAATATGGCTGGGCCTCCGGGTCGTTATAATACTGATAATCGAAGTAGAACAGAATGGCCTAACGTGATGGATACTGAAGATGATGAAGATAGTGGTATAGAACTAGTAACAGTTAATAATTATCAATCCAGGAATATAAATCAGCTGGTAAGCTATTTTGATAACCATGTCAATTTTAGTAGAATGTTCTAAATAATAGTCTAAATTATTATAATAGTTGACACCGTCAATTGTCATGCAAAGGAAAACATTTCTCATATTTAGTTGATAGCTTAAATATTATCGTACTAAAATGTCCCAAAAATCTCTTGGTATATGTAACTCAAATTTAGTCAAAGTGTTATTTTTTCTTTTAATAGGTAACGTAATTTTAGAAGTATGGTACCTTTAGATTTGGTTTGTAAGTGTGTTGAATTTGTTTTCAACAATTTATCTTAAGTACTAGGGATATCACAGGACTTATGGGAAAATCTATAGATTAGCAAGTTCTGTACATTAATTGTATTTGCTGTTTTAAAATTATTTAGTAGTAGTTCTGCTATTGCATATTGCTATTGCTATTGAAATCCAGAAATGCAGGTATAATTATATAATACTCTACTTCATAATGATTTTGAAAATATGTTCTTGTACCCTGCAAATAAAGAAATAAAAATATTAATTGTAAAACCACTTCAATATTGTATGTACATTTAATTTGATAATACATATAATAGCTGTTAAAATATAACATTTTGCTAGCGGTTGTTTTAAATAATTTTATTTGATACCAGGAATAGGTGACATAAATTATAATCTATAACTCTGATTTGATTGCTTGAGATCAATTTAATTTTTGCTTAATATTTAATTTTTTTTAGTTTCATCATGCTTAACTTATCTTATGACAAAAATACTTTTATCTCATATAATAACTGAATACTGGTTTGATTAAATTGTTTATACTTAACTACATTTGTTTGAAGTAACTATTCAACTATATTGTTGTGTGTCCATCAAATAAAAGTAGGTATACTATTATTTATTTGTTAATTGTTTCATTCTAGCCAACTGTCCCACCTGTTGTTGATTTAACTCAAGAATCTGAAGAAGTTACAGATCCAATGCTTAACAATCCTGGCAGGACACCACAAGCAGACATACCGTTAGGCCCTGCCATGTTTAGTCGTTATCCAATAATGCAGCAACAACGACAGTATGTTGGTCATTCTGCAATGAGGCCTATGCCGGGTTACAACCAACAGTTTACTCCGAATCCGTCCCCCTTGTATCGTAATGATGTTATTTTCATGGACCAACCTCCTCAAGCTCCTTGTGTCCATACAGCTCATCCGCCACCAGGCACTCCTGGTTGGCCACCACCTTGTAGTCAGTGCCACAATACTTCGAGAGTTGTATTTGGAATGGGTAGTCACATACATCCAGCTCACCATCATCATCATCATCATCATGGGATGATGGCTGCACATCCAATGACTCCTTGTGTATCCAACGTGCCTTTGTATCACCAACGGTTGTGGTACAATCAACATAGAATTCAAGAAATGCAAAGAAGAAGAATGGACATGATTAATGGGTAAGATTAAAAACTAATAATTTAATAGACTATTTTATGTATAGATTAGATAACCTCATTTACAAGCAAATTTACTTTTAATCTTGGAAGAGCTTAAACATCAATGAGTTGTATCTAATTGTAGACCTGGATTTACAATGAACATCTGGAATAATAAAAACCCTAGTTATTTTTTCCGCTCCGAGGAAAAACTTAGAATCATGGATATGTTTTAGCAATACGGTTTTATGCATAGGTCCTTAGTACTTTTTCCTGATAAAATAACATTCTAGTGCGGTGTATTTGAGCAAGTTTGGCATTGTTTTTATTATATTATTCTTAAAAAAAAAATTTGTTCATAATAGGTTAAACTGTTCTGGTGGTATGCGTCTCATATAATTATTATTATCCGCTATAGCTGTTGAGCAATTTATAGAAAAAACTTTACATAGTAACCTGATATTTTGGAAGTGCGACGGCGGCGTTCATATCCATGTTGGATACATTGCTAAAACGCGCTCTGCTGACGTAATTAATCTACCAGGGACCCATATGTAAAGTTTGCTATACATTGTTCATGTGGTGGCGGCGGCAATGTACACGTATGTTTTATAGAGTAGCCTGGTACACATATTTATTATTCAATAAATAAATCTTTCTTTATGACGGTTTTTATGTCTGTGACGCGAAATCGTAACACAAATTTTCCACGCAAATTTTGGAATGACCCCCAGCCCAAAAACATATACATGTTATAATACAAACTTATATTGGGGATACTAATTTTAGAACTGGAGTTGCTAAATATTTTAAGATTAGCCTCTATAGTACCAAGGCTAATATTTTAATAATAATTTATGTACTTGCTTTCTCCAGTGGTTCTGTACGTTCATTGAGAACAATTCCACCAGTATCGTGTATGCAAGGATACCAGCAGCCACCTCAAGCAACACCAGTGCATCATGCGATTCATACCGTATTGCCTTCGCCTCAACAACCAAATGTGTTCAGCCGACCAGAAGTAATTACTTCGCGTCGAATCGGTCCTACTGCCGTTATTGTATGTTAAACATAGAAATTATTAAAAATTATGCTGTTACTGCTTAATAGCATCTTATAATAAAGACTGCCAGTTTTTCCCATACCTGTAATCATGGACTTAGTGGACTCTAAATTAGAAAAGTTAACTTATCTCCTATGTCGATATTTCCCATGAATCATTAAAAGATATCAGTTTGTTTATATGTTATAGTTCCGATGTTGATTGATACCCTAGTGTATAAAGACTTAAGCGTTTTACTATTATGACGTCTTTATTAAATGCAACATTCACATTGATGATCTTGCCATCTGAAATATGGCTAACATATTTTATATAACAATTGATTTTTTCGCTCCTAAATTTTCAATAACCATCTCTATATTTTTAACTTATGTTGCAAAAATGAAGATAGATTAATTGGCAATTTTCAAAATTTACCTATTGTATTTAATTTTTAGACCTTATCACCTCCAACTGATGGAATTGAACAAGTACCTCAATCGACATTGCAGACAGAAATTGTGGTGCAAAGTGGTTCTTCAAGGTTGTTAATAATTCATTTTAATAAATTCTTACACTTTTTTCCTTATTATTTATTTATTTTTAGCGATGGAGGACATCCTCATATTCATCATTATTACAATTTCCATCCTCCTGGACCACCTGGGCGTATGCATCATGTACGAATTAGTATTGGAGCACCATCGGGCACTATTGTTAATGTAAGTTTTTTTTAACTGACAAAATTGACTTAATAACTAAATTATAAATTTAAGTTAGCTTGACTGTCATTGTTTAAATGAAGATACTATGATGATAATGTAATGTTTTATATTACTATTAATTATAAATTATCAATTATTAATTATCATTATTAAGAATGGAGGAATATTTCATCATTCAACCAATCTGTGGATTGAAAAAAAAAACATAATTATACGCTTTTAATATAAAATTGCAAGTATTAAAAAAAAATTTTTTTTTTTTTTCCAGGCTACTCCGGGTCCAACAATACCATCTCAGCCTGGACCTGATATGCCTCAAATTGGACCACTTCCTCAGCTTGGTTCTTTGCCAATGTTAACTCGACATCTCTCATACCGGTTAGAAGATTATTTACGATTGATGGAACAACGTCGTTTACATATGATGAACCGTGGTGCTTCCAAAGACACAATAGAAAAGAATACTTTTCCTCATAAATATAAACGAGTAAGCCTTTTTTTTTAAGGTTGCTACTGTTCATTTTATTTTATAGCTTGAGTTCCTTACTTCTCTTATATCATTATTTTTTCAAAGTCAATTATAAAGTAAATAAATTATTAATCAATTTAATTTGTATGTTAATATTCTCTTACTTTGTTGTTTACTAACCTTTCTGTTAAATGATCAACTGCCTCATTATTGATTATTTATAAATTATAATAAAACAAATTAAGTCATATAAAAACAAATTTGAATAATGGCTGATCAAATATTTTTGAATATAGTCTATTTTTAAAAAAGTATAAAATAAATCAAGTTATACTCCAAATGAGCTTTAAGAAAAGGGAATATGTTTAACTCTTTCAGATCTAATTTATTTGAGTCCAGCGGCTTAAGATATACATTGGTCCAGACATAAAAAAATAAAATTTTAGAACCAAAATCTCCTAGGCTCTGTATCAAAGCTTAAAATTTAGAATCTACTTACAAATAAAAATAAAATAAAATTAGTTTAACTTTATTTTATAGGTTAAGAGATCTTCAGATGAAATGGAAGACAATACAGAAAAATGTACTATATGTCTTTCGGACTTTGAGGATACTGAAGATGTTAGGTAAAGTAAACAAAATTTGTATTTTTTTATCCTATTTTATTATATAATAATTTTCGATTTTATATTTCGTATCAAGACGTTTACCATGCATGCACTTGTTTCACATTGAGTGCATTGACCAATGGCTGTCATCAAATAAACGGTGTCCAATATGCCGCGTCGACATTGAAACCAAAGAAACAAAAGATGCAGCTGGATCACCTTTACCATCCGATTCCCCGTTTTTGGTACCTACCTGACATCATGATTGGGTGGTTTTACCACCCACTGATCGCCCAGTACCACCAACTGAATCATGTTCTGCGTTTTCCCAATAATAATTATGAAAATGAGAACGTTTAGCTGTCAGAGTACTTCACTGTTAAATATTATCCTTTAAGAAAAAAAAATGGTTTTTTACAACCAGATAAATTTGTTACCCTCGCCATACACTTTGGGGTTGTGCGTGATAAATTAAAAAAAAAATCATAACAGCATACGCGAGCTTTTCCATTCATAATGTGATAATAATTTTTTTTTTATTTTTTACTTTTATTTTATTCGTTTTAGCCATTTGCTGCATGTTTATGTTTTACAGGAACTTAACCTTTTTGTGTTTTTTTGTCCGTTGTGCAATATTCTCCTTGCCTACGTTAGTTAGCAAGAAATTTCATGTTTCCGAGTGCTGGAGATTTTAAATGTCTTTCAATTCAATAGTATTACAGATACCATCAAACAATACTCTACATTAATGCATATAAAATATATATATTTATTTCTTATTTTATCAATTCCATTAACATTATATTTGATTTCTGTAGGAGTTTCTTTTTAGTGACTTTTTTTAATGTAACTCAAAAGTAATTTTTTCAAAATTGACAATATTTAACTTTTATAATATAATATATATATATATATATATAAATATGTGTGTGTGTGTATATGTATATATACAGAGAGAGTACATTTAAGTAACAGATAATAAGCCTTTTTACATTGATGACTTATTGGAAAGTTTACTTTTAATTAATTTTTAGTTTGGTTGCTCATCACTAACTTGGATTTATTTGCATTGTACTCATCATATTTATATATATATGTACTAAAGTTTAGTATTAACTATTAATCATTGGGCCCTCCCCCTATTGTTACAACTACACGTATCAATATTAATAATGTGTAGAAAACATATCTGTTAGGCTTGTTTGTTTATTATTACTGTCTTTTTGATAACTATTTTTACTGTCAGAATAATTATGTTGTGGTCGTGAGTAGCTTATATATTGTTCGTAGTGATGTATATTTATATATAGTCAATATTACAATTTTTTTTTTCATAAATAAAAATAATCTTGTCACGTTAATCGAATTTACCCGATACCCCAAGTACCTGCTACAAACAAAATTTAATATATTTAAATGTATCAAGTTTGAACTAATTGTTTAATTAATATCTATAATTTACACTCAGAGATTTGTTATATCAACAAGACTTAAACGAGACTACAAAAAATATAAATTTGTAACAATAATGATTTTTTTAATAGTACTTTATTCAATACATGAGTTTGTGCTCAATATGTAAAGCAAAAACTTACATTTGCCTCGTCTTTATTCATTTTTTATCATATAACGTATTGAATTAGCCTCTTGCATCAAAATTATGTTTTAGTGATGCGCCCCTTATTTTGATCTCTTTAGTTTATAAGCACTCGAATAAAAAATTATTCAAATTTGTATACTTGCAGTGCAAAAACACTTTATTACCGGTTAACTACAATAAAGATCACACTCCCAACTAATTATACGTATTTTTGCTAAGTGTATTGTGATAATTGAAATGTTTTAAACTTAATATTTTTTTCTATATTATACTATGATTATTATCACCTTCTTCCAGTTTCCATATGTATGTTGCTTAATATTACTTTTTATACTAGATATTCTTATGAATTTTTATTTTATATATTAATAACTATATTGTTAAAAAATGTAAAAATAAAATTCAAATCGCATATAAATGTGTATTGTTTTTTACAAAAACTACCATGAATAATAGGTATTAATAGAACAAAACCATACAAAAGAAATGTATTAAAAAATAATTTTGTTTATTAAAAAAAACAACACTTACAGCCATACACCACCATTATAAATAGAATTGAATATAATAATTTTCACTATTGTGAAGTTCTGTAATGTTATGAATATATATTTTTGAATGACTAAATTACGAACAGTTTTTAAAATGATTTGTTCATGATCAAACACTTCTTACAATTGTTTTTCAATTACATTTTGAAATCGATCATTGGTGTTATTTAGTTATACATATAAATATATTTAAAAAAATGTTTTCTAAGTAATTATTTGGATTGGTCGTGGGCTGACAATATTGTGTTCTTACTTATGATTTTCATACTTTAAGGCTCTTGGTGCTTATATTTTGTTTAATCTTCATCTTCTCCAGATTCAGATTCTAAAACAATAAATTAAAATTGTTATACATTTATGTTACAAATAATGTTTGATTAAAATACAATAACTATATATACACACACACACACACATATATATATATATATATATATAAACCTCTTATTATCTATTAATATTATTCCCACAAAATCAATTAATTTTATCACAATGACTATTGTGAATTTTTAAATAAAGGATTTGTGAATAAAGGATTGAAATATTATGTGGATACACCTGAAAATCTTCTACATAATATTTTAGTATAACTCAATTCACTTAATCCATACATCTAAAATTAAATTATACCCTTTTTTATCAAAGGTGAAAAATTTGTTATAGGACTGTATTGAAACAAATTTAAAAGATCAACAAAATATAGTGGAAATTAGACAAATTATTTGAGTTCCGACGGCATATATTGATTTGCCTGTACTACATATTTTAAATTTTTTACAATTGGTAGTAATCAATTTAAAACAAATGGTTGTATGAACACTAGAGGGTGGAACTCAGACTAAATTGTGTGAGCACCGAAGGCAACTGTTCAAATATATCACTGTTCCTCTGTTAAGCATTTGATTCTTTACAAAATTAATAAAGACTTCACCAAGACAGAGAGTAAATGAATTGCTAGAATTTTACTGACTTTTAGGAAAATAATAAAAATTAAATTTGTATGAACACTAGAGGGTGGAACTCAGACTGTAATGTGTGAGCACCGAAGGCAACTGTTCAAATATATCACTGTTTCTCTGTAAAGCATTTGATTCTTTACAAAATTAATAAAGACATCACCAAGACAGAGAATAATTAAATAGTCTAGAATTTGACTTACTATTAATAAATTATACAATTATATTTGTATGAACACTAGAGGGTGGAACTCAGACTGAATTGTGTGAGCACCGAAGGCAACTGTTCAACTATATCACTGTTCCTCTATTAAGCATTAGATTCTTTACGAAAGAAATAAAGACATCACCAAGACAGAGGGTAAAGAAATAGTCTAGGATTTGATTACTATTAATATATTAAAAAAATTATATTTGTATGAACAATAGAGGGTGGAACTCAGACTGTAATGTGTGAGCACCGAAGGCAACTGTTCAAATATATCACTGTTTCTCTGTTAAGCATTTGATTCTTTACAAAATTAATAAAGACATCACCAAGACAGAGTGTAAAATACCATATAATAAAAAAAAACTTTACGTAAAAATTATAAATACCTTCTTCAGCATTCTGAAGCCACTCAATAAACTTCTTCATTTGCTCCAAAAATGTTGTTTTACCCTTCGAGTGTCCTTCCTTATACCATTTCAAAATTACTTCTTCAGTCAACACATCGGCTACAATAATTAACAGAATTAAAATTATATAAGTAAATATGTGGTCATAGCATAAAAATTAATAATTTACTCACTCTTATAGAAAAGTAAAATTATCTTTTGAAAGACTCTCATGAAATTCATATTTTCATAACAGTATTCTTGAACCTTGAGCATAAGAGCTAATTCAGAACGAGCTGTAGTTGAAAAGGCTGAAAATAATGGAGAATATTGTTTGAGATGTTTTAAAGCCTGGTCAGCTAGTAGTTCCTCCTTTTTATTCCACTCCACTTGTCTCATTACAACACTCCATACCTAGAGTATAGTGAAAAAACAATTTGTTTTTATTTGGTACATGGATATTCATCATAATATTTACTATACTTTACTTATCCATCATATTATTTTTACCCATACATACTAAATAGTACACCAACATTTTTAATAATGAAAAGGGAAGATGGCTTTTAAAAATCTTCTCTAGCACATTAAATAAAAAATTGATTATAGGATAAAACTTATTTTTATAAGATTTAAAACTTATTATATGTCTAGAAACATTCTTGGTCCACGAAACTAGAAATGTGATTGTCGTGCGCCTGGTGACATATTTGTCAGGGTTTCTATATCTAGTTTCACAGGTAAAATAATTTAAAAAACGTACGATTAATTTTAAGGATTTATTTCTTATATATTATTGGTGTTTATAATTAATAATTATGTTTTATTAATATTTCAGTTTTTTTATTTATTTATTATTATTTTTATAAGGGCCTTGATTTCTGGAGTCATTAGCCATAAATTTTACAATAATTCTTTATACCTGATTAAATAAGCTCTTGTATACATCATAGACAAAAAAGATTAAGTTTTGTCATAGTTATTATTTTGAAAAATTTTATTTTTTTTGATACATTGTGGGGTTGGTTTCCTAGTGCTTCTTGTAAGCTTATGAGCATTTTGAGTCAAATATTACAGTTTACCATACACATAATTTAATAATACTACAAAAAATACATATTATCACAATTATTTATATAATGTATGGAGAAAATGTATTTCAAACTATATGACATTTAGTTATTAGGTAGGCGAAAACCATTAAATATCTACTTCTAATTAATGATACAAAAATGTGTATGGTAATAAGCAATGTAACCTACGGGCTACGATGTACATGTAATAAAATAAATAAATTAAAATTCCACCCGTACGTATACGTATAAATAGAATGTTTACTGTTTTTTTTATAGTAGATCATATTATTATACACATTTATTATATCAAAAATGTGCGCTAACAGTAAAAAATAACAACAAATAAACAATAGATTTTAAACCCCTAGTGAAAATCTATCACCAAGCGCATGACGATCAAACTTCTAGCTAGCTTCGTGGACCGTACTGTAGTATTATTTTATGCAGACATAAAATCACTGCCACTTTTTAAAAATAGCTTAATAATAGATATTTGAAACAACTTAAAGATTTAAAATGAGTTTAAATTGTTAACATTGGATAATGGGTATACAATTGATCTGTGCCATATTAGATAATAATCTGTTAATAATTTTTTTTTTATAAATACCAAAACTATAATTTCATGTTCTGGAATGTCATGCTTTGAAGAAAGCTCTTTGATGTTTGCAATCATCTCTTTCATATGTTTGCCATCATTAAGATCATCGTGAAGTTGCACTTCTAAGTTACGTTTGGCCTCTTGACTTGCTTGAGCCAAATGCAACTTAACAACATCAGACAACCCTTTTTCTTCAAATTGTGCACGAAAATGTTCTTCAGTTCGTTTGTTTGGAGGTAGAAAATCCATCAACCGACCTTCAAGTCCACCTTTTTTCAATACGGTCAATAGGTGAGCTATACCAACTTCTTGTTTGTAAGTCACAAATAGTTCAATAAGGAACTCCAATGCCAACCCATCTTTAATTAAATGCTCCTATTAAAACGGAAATAATTAAATTTTAATAATATGCAATCAACTTCAAGTTTAATTATCCATAACACAGTATCACACTGAAATTACAAAAAAAGTAATATGTCAAACAAATTATTAAGCAACTTAAAAACAGAGCGATTCCCCATAAAAGTTACTTTAACATTGCCTTCCGTAAAAAAATTGTTTTTTTATTTAATTACTAAAACCAATTATTTAACACATTGACCGCCATATGGCCGCACTCTTGTTTTTTTTATAATTATGCTGATAAATCTAGTTGACCTTTAGGAAACATGTAAAGTATTATCTCTTTATAACGATAATGTTATCTCTTGACACATTGTCAATTGTCACTTTAAGGTACATAATATATTATAAATAGTTATTTTTTCCTTTATATTACGATAGAATTGTAACATTACTATGTAGTGCCATTAAATTTATTTCAGATTACAATAACATAAGATAAAAAGCTGCTCGCAGCTGGATGGCGTTCCAAAAGTAATTTATTGTGGTTGCAAATTCAGTACGGCACAGTCAATATCTTAAATAATTGAGTGTTTCAATATTTATTTATTTATAAATTAATACAATACTAAATATAGACAATCAAAAATATTATCTCTGTAGTTTAGGTCAATTGTATGTCAAACCCCAAAATTATACTATATTTATTCTAATTTTACTTTAAAATAAACTAATATTAGGTATTTTATTTGTATCACTTTAACAGTAATATTTACAAATTAAGTGATACAAGGTTTTGATTATATATATATACATTACATTTGTGAGCACTTGAAGAACAGTCGGTGGAATTGAACCATTTGAAATCCATAATGTTGTCATACGTGCTAATTTAACTCGTTCAATGTCACTAAAGCCTTTAATGAACAGCAAGATTTTTTTCATTTCCTCCTCAAACATTTTTTCTAGATATTTATATCGGCGCATGAGCTTGATAAACACCTGTTCATAGTTACGCATGGATACCATATCTTCAGGTGCTTCAAAAACACAGGCGTTAGTTTTCCACAGTTTGTCCCCATCTTGAGATATTGATCCTCCCGGTACTAAAAAATATAAATTATTACTAAATTAAACAAATTAATTCAATTTTTCTGTATACCTAAGAGGCCTCCAGCAATCAGTATGTCAAAGAGGACTTCCCCGTAGCGTCGATAATCGACTTTAGAACCGGCTTGATCAAGGAATTTCCAAATAGCTTCTAGGTCGGTGCCGGCACCATTGAGGCCCCCAAGGATGTAGTCCCGGAAGCCAAAAGGGTCGTACTTTTCTTTTTCATCTATGAATATATATTAAAAATGAAAGAACAAATCCATGAAAGCTCAATTTAACAATTAAATTGTACAAACCTCTTTTTCTGGTCTTGATGCGTTGACCTGACAGTACCGGTTTTTCTGTTTTTTGACTCATACAACAACTCGCTAAACAAATTATTGGTACATTTTTTTTACATTAATTGGTTAACTTAATATATAATATGTAATAAATTAATATGAAAATGTAATTAAACAAACTACAAACTAATAAATACATACTCAGTAGGAAAATTTATTTTTAATATTGAACACAAGAAAGTAATTTTAAAATAATGAACATTTATTTACGTTTTGTTTAGTTTAGTTCTTTAATTACTAAGGAAGTTTAGGTAGGTAATTTATAAATTTCCTTTGTCCAAAGACGTTAAAAAATAATCTATAAAAACAATACAATACCTATAAATAGTATTATGCATGTAAAATAAAGTCATACTATTCTATTATAATTTATCTTTGGTTACCTACATATTTTGTATACTACCAAGTATAATATGTAAATATTATCAGGGATAAATATGTTTAACCAATAACTGTAAGGTGTCACATTATCAGTGTGTGTAACGCTCACTGTCACCACTTGCGACACTCAGTCGAGAATTTGTCTAGTGAAAAGGAGTGATTTCCTCCTCTGCAGATGACAACCTTTTCCAAATAGTGAATTCGTCAATAAACCCTTGCGTGATGATCATTATAGCTTCAAGCCCAATTAATGAATATGATAAGTTAATCTAGGATAAAACTAATTGGAAATTAAATTGATTTATTACAATTACCCTTTGAAGGAAGCTGAGAACTTTAAGTAATGTAAATGCAGATTTTTATAATAAAAAATGTACTCTGATAATTAATTGTCATATAAAGACAGTACAGCTACCATAAAATAGTACCTAAGCAACAATATTTATTCTAAATTCAAATAATAAAACATCATTAATATCCAAAATCGTAATTTAAATCGTAACAAAAAATACTACTTCAAACATTTTAAAAATTGTTAGTTTTTAACACTTAAACAAATAAGCCATTAGTTACATAAATTTGTAACTACAATTACTACGCAAGTCCAAACAACAATTTTGTTGTGCTCTTGAAATCCAATTTTAGATAGGATTTAAGCCCAAAATTACCAAAGTAGTGCTAACAAAATTATTTATACCAATGTAAAAGAAACTTTTTAATAAATAGAATTTGGGACTAAACGCATTTAAAATCATCAAAATAATCACTTACAAAACATTAAAATAAGCAAAAAAGAGCAATCGCAAAAATGGTAACCCTACCCCATAATCATTTTTTTTTTTTTAAATACTATGCAGAGTATATTTTTTTTGACTACAAAAACCATTAACACCCAATTATGTTTAATTAAATGAAGTGTTTAATAATTAAAAATTGTTTGTCTATGATTATTTCTTATCATTGTTACACATATAATTAGCAATGTAATAAAAAATGTTTTCAAACACTTGTTGATTGTCGATTTATTTTCGCATAGGAAAATAGAAATTTATTATGGTTAAAGTGCTATTTTCCCCCTTTTTTGGTTCTTATTTAAGAAAAAAAATGACAACTACAGATTTTTGAGATAATTGTATGTGACAACAAAAAATACATCTTCATAAAACAAAAAAACTTCTGATCTTAACTTTTAGTTACTGAATACGTTATTAGGATTATCAGGCCGCTGTGGTCAAAAATGGTGTTTTTAAACCACCAATATACCTGGAATAAATTATAGTTGGGTTTTCCATAATGTATAAATTATTACAGTGGTGGTATTTTTTGTATTGCCAAATAACCAGCGATGACAGAAATGGTAAAAAATTTGTCATTTTGACTTCATAATTATAATAGAAAAACTGCTTAATACCAAAAATTGCTCTCCTGAAAACATTTAATTATTTGCTAACGTCTAGGTATACCTGACATCTAAATAGGTTATTCGTAAATACCTTTGACAATTTTACAGATTAACAATATATATATGATGAGTACAGGGTAAAAACCAGCAGTCACTTTTTAAAAATGGCAAATTTTTGTTACAAAATTTGTTTTGATACAATACGAATCGGTTCTTTACTTTCAAGCATGATTATAAACAAAAATATACAATATTTTTAAAAGTTTTAAGTATTTCTTTAACATTTTAAAACACATTTTAGCATTACTTAAACATGTTATCTTAGATTAGAAAAAAGTGACTGCTGGTTTTATACCTGTACCCTTCATATATTTAATATAATAAAATAAATTATTAATAACATACCGTTATTAATCATTTTTTTTTTTGTTACAACATTAATATTTTTTTAGTGAAAAGCCTGTTGATTCCTGTACAAATAATATATTATCAAGAGAGGAGGGGGCAGGATACATTATTAGTAATGAATTGGCAAATACCTATAGGTATATTTACAAAATATGAGGAGATTTTACCAAAGGACAGCACACAAGTTTTTACTCTAGCTTATTTAGTTTTAAACAACCGAGTTCATTGGATAGATTTGAATGGTACACTATATACGACTTCTTGTCTAACATAAGTTTAGAAATAAATTATTGTTCGCTTTAAACACCAAATGTTGAAGACCAAAAAATTCTGCTTTAAGATTAATATAAATACGTCTCGATATCGAACGTGAAAATCCAAAATCTGATTGGTCATCTGCATGGTCAACAGACCATGTGGATTTTTACAAACATTATTTTAACCCCGTAAAAATATTGCAACCGGCACGGGCTTATTTAAGCAAAGTAGTAACAAAAATCTAAAATCCAAATTATCTAATGAGTTAAGTAAAAACCAAAAATAAACGTGTCAAGGACATGATGTTTATAAGTGTTAGTTGAAACGTAAAAGCTGTGGTGGCCAAGGCATTTCCGCTCAACAAAACGACTGTCTTAGGTATCGACTAACTTATACTTAGTAGCGTCAATGTTAGACAACTCCATTACTATTGACGCTTAATTATGTTTCAAGTTATTTAAAAATTGCTTACTTACAGAAAAACCTGTTAACGACGCACAGATATTCAAATCACACACTATAAAAACTACGAAACGAAAAGAACGACCGGACTAATGATCGTGTAATTGTGTGCGTTGTTAGTACTTAGTTGTAACTTGTACAGTGTACTACTCTTTCTCGTTTTTGGTTGGCTACACATGACAAGTCATGGTCTCACGAGTTACGCTAGGTTGGCTACCATGTTATAACAATGAGGCCTATCATTTTTCTCATTAGTGAAATCCGCTTGAAAGAAATTGAATACTATTTTTATTTTTTTTAAATTAAATTTATATTATATTGAGTAACAACATTCATACCTATTAAGGAGAATTGGATCATCCACCTTGATACCTTTTAAATAACTATAATTTTGTTAAAATATTTTTCGTTATTTCAAACAAAATGGCCACAGTGTTACCACTTCTAACACTCGCGGTAAATTTGAAAATACAATTATTTTACTGTGAAGTTAAAGTAAATCGCTCGATTTTTATTTGTATACATTATAACTTATAAGTAGTATAATGTATAAACTATACTCTTAGTGTCGTTATAATAATTACAAATTCCCAACTAATATTTCGAAGATTTTCAGACTTTAGTTAGTTTTAATTATGAATCTATATTTTTTGTTAGATGACAGATGCTTATATTTTATTGTTACAAATTGTTAAAACTTAAAAATTAGAAATTATGTTGTCTACTATCACCATTAAAAATATATAAATTTGTCTAAATATTTTGAAAATAAAAATTGTGATATAAAAACTAAAATAAACAACTCGACAAATTAACAATTAAACAAGTATAACAAGAACTTAAAAATTATTTCTAATAACTATAATGTCTTACTTTTAAAAATGTATATTAAGTAAAAATATGGAAAAATAAGTTTATTAAACTACTAAAATAAACTAGCCTACTTAATTTAATAATAATCTAACTGTTAGAATATGTGTGTATCTATTATGACTTATAATATTGATAAATACGTAAAATAGTACATAAAAAGTACTACAATTTATGTACCTACCTACCTATTGTAATAAAATCTTACACAAAAATCAGTAGGTATAGTATAGTAATATAATTTATAACAGCATTGGATCACGAATCCAGTCTATTCACTTGTTATAAATTACAATAACTAAAATAAGAAAATACTAACAAATTTGTATAGGTACCCTAGGTTACTATTTTCCAAACACGTAATTAATAAAAAAAAACGATTAACTAAAGAAAGTATAAATTTAAATGATTGTGATTGCATAATAATTTATTTTGAAATTCATTCCAAAAGTATAAGCAGTTATCATACAATTTTGATGGTTTACAACTTACATTTATTTATTAAACCACGACTCACAAGACATTTAAACTTATGCCAGGCTGTACAAACAATTGATCAACATTTAATGGTTCAATAACATTGAATTTTGGACCTAATTGATAGAGCTTTTAAAAATCATTAAATATGTAACGATTCATTAAAAATGAACATGCAATCTAGTGTCAGTGTTTTTCCTGGACTGTCTCCAGAAACATAACAATTAAATTTATCGTGTCACATTGAGTGTTACTCCTAAATGTAATAAATCTAAAAAATTAGGTTATTTTTCCATCATGAGATACATAATATAAATATAATAGTTATATCATATCTTTCAAAATTTAATATTCTAATTTTATAAACTATTTAAATTTTCTATAAAAATCTATTAAAGATTTATAAGTCTATTATAAGTGATTTTACTCAAATTCATTTTTTATACTTAACAATTTTTCTATATTAAATAAGTATAATTATGTTTAATTTAATACATTTTTCTTAGGTTCATACAAAATATTTATTTACACATAAAAACATACATAAATATTTAATTATTTTTTTTATACATTTACAATAAATGAAATAACAAATTTATATTTTATTAACAAATAAACAATTTTAAAATTGTAAGAAAATTTCTGTTAAAAAAAAAAACAAATTATACATGTCAAAACAGCTGAATTAATCAATTTTAAAGGCTTTTTCGACAATAAAATAAAATGTACGACTCAGATGAACAAACCATTGACGAACTGATATCATAAACTCTTACATCATCAAATTTATACCACCTATATAGAACAAAAATTTAGAAAAAAAATGTATATTATATTAGCAGAAAAAACATTTAAAATATTTTTTTATTATCGTTAGTACTTGTTTATTGATGTTTTTAGACAGTATGCTGTGTAATGACCTCCATCTAATGATCCTGAATGGTTTGATACACCATATAAATAATACTTCCAATTACGATGTTCTGTACCATTGATAAAATCAGTCATATCCAAGTCAGTTTTGGGAAATTCTACATATGTATTTTTCTTATATCCACTACTTGAAAATCTAATAATAAACATTTTATGTATGTATACAATAATTATGTAAATAAAAAATTAATACCTTTTTAAATGTATTATTAAGTATGGTGGTAATCTCATAATATCTAATTTTTTTGTAGCATCTCTACTGCGTTTACATTTTGGACAATGCCAACCACTTATTGATTCGCCATTTAAATATAGTTTTAGGCAGTCCTAGAGAAAACAGAACAGTTTGCAAAGTTTTTAAAATAATTGAATTAAAAATAAAAAACATAAAAGTCTAAAAACAATATAATAAATTAGTAAGATACCAATAGTTATTAGCTATTACACATTACAAACACAACTATTGGGCTATTTTATTTTTTACTTAAAAACTGAATAACTTTAACAGTAGACTTTACAGCTTTATTTTTAGCTAATGCTTACTGAAAGTGTGCATTTGTTGCCTTCAGATGGTAAAGGTAAGCTGAGACTAGAAAACGGTTCAAAAGTTGTAGACTTTTCAGAACAAGTGTCACAAGATACTGATGATTTTTGCTGTCCATAGAAGAGGCTTTGGATTATTGAATTATTGATGTTAGTCCATTGTCCCCAATCTTCTTCACCAGTTTCTTTTGAAGCACCCAAAATTATTGTATTATTCTTTGGCTGAAATAAAATAATAATAATTAAATAAGTTGTTATACATTACTAGTTTTATAAAAATATATTACTTTTTATACTTAACCTTATTTAAATCATCATGAAGCCAGTCTAAAAGAATAGTTAAAAACTCATGTGAATCTTGTTGATCGTAATGTTTGAACATATCCTTGTACTGCCCGATTGTATTCTAGCGAAATAACAGTAGTGTTGTATTTACTTTTTAAACAAAATATAGAATATAAAAAGTGCACAATCAATTTTGTGATTAAAAACTTACCTTAAAAGTTTGACATTGAAAACTTCTACTAGATTGTGACCACAAATTTACAATAACATTTCTAAATTCTTTGGCTACAAAACCTTGTGTTCTACTTTTATGGTTGATAAATTTATCAAAATGATTAATAAAATATTTCGCTAGATCTTCGGTACTACTTAAGCATTGTAGTATAGAATTCATATAACAAGTGTTACCTAAATTTTGTAATCCTCTTAATCCATCTCCTCCCTGTTAAAAAAAATAGATTAAAAACAAGCTTGTGAGTTCATAAAAACGTTATAATAAGATTTTTAACTATAAAACTATTACACCAGATGGACAAATTAATTTGGTGGGGGGGTTTGGAATCCAACATAAAGGCAAAACAATTTTTTTTATAAAAGTATTAAAAAAATATATAGGTAAGGCTTATAATTTTTCATGTTTTTTTATTACTTTTCATATTAAATACATTTCTTTATCATGCCACAAACTAAAATTACAATAATAATATCAATAATAAGGACTGAATGGGAAAACTTCGCTTTAGGTTGGAGGATTGTGTTAGATGTAGGAGGGATAGAAACTGGAATACAATAGAGGGAAGCAGCCGAGGAATATATACTGGAGGGCTTAAAACCCCGTAACTCCTTAAAAAAAAAACAAAAAATATTTATAATACTTACTATAATTTTAGAGTTAGAAATAGTTTGTAATTCATCTAATGGTTTAGTAGATCGATCTACATGTGGAATTATACATGGATTATTTTCCTAGAAAAAATAATTATAAAGTTTAACTTTTAAATGTATATATTTTACTACTAATAATATTTTAAACAATTTACTAGGTTTTGGTAACCCAACTCATCTAACAATGATTCAGAATTGTCCATATTGTTATGATTGAGTGACAATTGTCTGTTCTCTAGTTGCTCAATGTTATACGGTATCTAAAAAATAATATTATTAACACTTAAAAACTTGTACAAAGATAATAGAACCTTTTTTTAAAATTGACTGTAATAAGGCCAAAAAGACGAAATGTCAATTTTTGTAGTTTTCAGAAGAGCCAAGAAAGGGATTTTTTTTTATTAATTTCAATATTTTAGGCACAATTTTTGTGTTAATCTTTATCTGCTTTTCATGTATATTTGCCGTTTTTTTTTTTTTTTTTTATCAATAATTTAAGTTGGGTGTTTTACTTAAAAGTTAAACAATATAATCTATTTAGTCATTTGTATAAGAATATTAAACACTTTTTGTAAAATAAAAAAATAGAAATAATAATAATAGAAATGGCACAATTATAGACAGGTAGAAGACAGGTTAAAGGGTAGCCATAAAGACAAATGCCTAGGGGTCATTTCAAGTTTTAATATTATACTTAATTTTTGATCTCATACACGTAAGCAACAATAAACAAGCAATGACATTAAAAACATGGTCTATTCCACATAATAAATATAAAGTTAAAAAATTGAATTAACTACCATTCTGATAAAGGATTTTAAAATACTTTGAAATTAGCTAAATTAATGGTGAATGTACACAGAATTGAAGATTAATTTTCATTAATAAATTACAGTTGAATTAGACAAACTACTAAACAATTAAACTTCAAGTCTCCCGATGATTCTATTAATAATCAAAGAAAAAATTCAAAGTTAACTTTTTTGTGCAATTTTAGATCAATTGAAAACTATCCACCACAGCGCAGGCATCTTACCGTGAATAATAGTACATTATTGTGCAATTTAAAATTGTATATCTTATGTGTATATGAACACGGAACTAAAAAAAATTAATAATTAGAAAAAAAAGAATAATTTTTCAAATATTTTAAAAATCGGAGCAAATGGTTTGACAACTACTGTCCCAAAAAATCTGTTTGGTGCGCGACGGTCACCCGCCAGTTTTTGTGGCATTCACTATAAAAGAATCGTTTTAAGAAATCTTAATGGCTACCAAAGCCAAAAGAAGTTTTTCAAAATTGAAAATTATTCAAATATAATATAGTCTTTGAATCTGGAAGAAGTAAATACTTAATATCAATTTTTTTACATGTATTGTTTATATTACAAATTTTTTAAAATTGTGTGTTAAACATATACTAGTGTACAAAAGTATTTATCGATACTAAATATCTAACCAATTAAAAACTATGTATCACTAAATAAAATTTACATAGAATTAGTTTTTGCTTTGTTTGTAATAACAAATTTTTAATAAAACAAAACAAAAATTGTATTTCTAAACATGTGAGTAGGTAGCAACACTTGTTTGCCTTAATGTATTACAATGCTTTAGTCAGGCCTAAATATAGAAACATTTTTTATCTCTTCTCATTACTTGAAAACAACCAAATAAAAATTGCATTATTGATGTATCAGAATATCATATCATTGCTCCTAAGAAGTATTATTTAAAATTAAAAAAATAATCATACTTTGTCCTTATTATCATCATCAACATCTAGTTCATCATCATTATTATTATTATTATTGTAATATAAAGATTTAATTTCTGGATTAGAAAATGTATGTTTATTTAGTGGCTGAAAAATAGTGTTTAAATATTAAATAAATAATAAAATTAAAAAACAAATAATTTCAACATACCTTGGTTGATCTGTCAAATGTGGGTGGCTCTATTAAGCCTTCACTCGGTTCATAAGGCTCAATAATTTCTTCACTATTATTACTGTCAATAAACTGCATTGTTAGATTTCTATTATCTTTTAATTTATTATCATCTGAATCATTAAGGTGAATCTGATTTAAATTACTTTGGACAATTTCCAATGATGGATAAGATACAATTGTACCTAGATGGAAATGATTAATAATATATAGTAAACATACCCTTATTTTTACAAAAAAGAAATTATTTACTTCCATCTTCTTGGTATGTAGAAAAAGATTCTTGTTTAGTATCTGAGTATTGCTCAGTGTTACTAGAATTGATTATTTCTTTTTCGGTAGTTTTCCAAGGACATAAATGACAAAAATCTTCAAAACCACCTTTAAGAAATTTTAGTTTTTTGCTATTGTCATGGGTTGGATCCCATTTAAGTAATGCAACCTTAAGATCCATCAATTTGGGGTCATCTTCAATGTCTTCAGTACCTTTATCAAGAATAACTATATAGTTGTAAAAATGTCTGTTTATCCATTTTGTTTTGTATTTATCCAGTAATTTGTTTTTCAAAGTATCAGCTGTTAAACTGAAAAATAAATTAACAATATTAGTAATGACTGATGTACACATTTTTGAAAATTAATATTTTATTGGCAAGATTAATAAACTTATTTGAGGCTCGTAGGTCTAAATCCCTTAACCCGCAAAATTAAAAATTACACCTAATTGCAATACAGTTTTTAATTTTAAATATTTTTCATGTCATTATAACCTCACTGACACAACTATTGTTGTTGCTTATAGATAGATACACACAATAACTTCTGAATAATATTAAACCAATTTATTTCAAAGAGGAATATGTAGCTTGGAAATGCTCCTTTTTAAAATCAATAAATGTAGAACTGAAAAGTATACTTTCATTGTAGAACAAGAATGAAAACCTAAGTTGTTGAAAAAAAAATTGTTATCAATAATAGTTTTATTTTTCCATAGTCATTGATATATGTACAGTTTTAAGGAAGTAATGACTTTACTGATACTAATGATTTTTGATAGCACTTTTTTAATTTGGGAATTATAACCTAAAATGTATTTTGTTGCTTTTCTATGAGGCAATAAACATTGGGCGGGAGGTCATTAGGGAGGTTTTACAAATTTTTGTTTTCTCACCATGGAACCACTTAAAGGTGGTTAAGTTGTACATAATTTGAAGACTACCCATTGAGATTAACCGGTGCTTCTTTACTGTTTAAGTTTTATCTTTTATGATACACTAACAACTAAAATTCTGCATGTTTATAGTGAAATGGTATAGAAATATAGTAGTATAGTACTTTCATGATATATACATTTTCATTATATAAACGTTAAAAAAAAGGTGTAATAATCAAAACATAGTCCAGCCACCATGTGCCACCATCTAAGTAAATAATATTTTACAAGTACAATGTATATCAGCAATCAGCAATAGGGATTGAGCAACCAACACCAGTTATGTTAGGGTTTTACTAGACTAAAACCATTTTTAAACTGATAAAATTGTATGTTTTTTTGTGGGGGAGGGAGGTATTTTTATTATACTCTCCTTCCGAACAACCACAAGCTATGCTAGAACATGTTGGAACCATAGGTTAGGTATAATTGTAAAAACATAAACCAGGAAATCATAACCAGCATGTTGTCCAAAATTAGATTTTATCTGTTTTATACCGAGGAAAAAAACAAGAAACAGGAAAGAAATAAGGATGGAGAGCTGATAACAACAAAGATGGAAATAGCGGAAAGATGGGCAGAATATTTTGAACAGTTGCTTAATGGAGAAGACCCTGAAGAAACCTTTGACTATACACAAGAACAACCCAATAATTGCGCAGATGTGAAATGCCTATGTTACAAGAAATTATGTCACAAATTAAGAGATTAAGAAATCATAAATCACCTGACAAAGATGGTATTCAAGGCGAAATTCTAAAATGTATTGATGAAACAATGATTGAGATGATTCATAAGCTATTTGAAAAAATATGGAGTACTGAAGAGATCCCTAGAGATTGCATTAATATGCCCTATACACAAAAAGTATGATAAAAAAGAATGTAACAACTATAGAGGTATTGCCTTAGTGAATGTGACTTATAAAATTCTATCGTATTGCATTCTAGATAGAATCAAGCCTTTGGCGGAAAATATTATAGGAGACTATCAAAGTGGTTTCAGAGGAAATAAATCCACAATAGACCAAATATTTATTATAAGACAACTATTTCAGAAAACTTGGGAATTTGATCAAGAACTGCATACACTCTTTGTAGATTTCAAAAAGGCGTATGATAGTATTAATAGGGAAAGTATTTACAACATTTTAGAACATTTCCGCATCCCACAAAAACTTATAGGACTAATTAAGGCCAGTTTAAAAAAGACCATAGTAAAAGTCAAAATTGGTAACGTACTATCGAGAGAGGTTCTGGTGAACACAGGCCTACGGCAAGGTGATGCACTATCCTCAATTATTTTTAATCTGATTCCTGATTCTGGAAAAAGTAGTTAGAATGGTGAACATATCACCAGATGTAGGGGCGAAACTGGATAGAACATCAATAAGTCTTTTAGCATATGCAGACGACATAGTGCTTCTAGGGAATAACATAAATACAGTGAAAAGTCTATGCGAAAGACTTATAACAGCGGAAAAAGAGTGGGCTTGCAAATTAATGAGAAGAAAACAGAATATATGGAAGTCAGAAGACGACAGGATGGAAGACAAGCAGAAGAGTTCTTAAAGGTAGGGTCTTACAGTTTCAAAAAAGTATCAAAATTAAAATATCTGGGTACAATGATCACCCAATCAAACAATATGGAGTATGAGATACTTAAAAGGATTCAAATGGGCAACAAGTGTTATTACGCCTTGGGAAACTTATTTTAGTCAAGAACACTCTCAAAGAAACTAAAAGTCCAGCTATACATCACGCTAATAAGATCTAAAGTACTGTATGGAGCGCAATGTTGGACTATAAGGAAAAGTGATAAGTCAAAACTGAGGGTTTTTGAAAGAAAAATATTAAGAAGGATTTATGGACCCTGTCTTGACCCGCAAACAGGGGAATGGCGTAAAAGACACAATGATGAGTTATGTGACCTGTACAACAGGCCGGATATAGTAAATGAGATAAAAAGAAAAAGATTGGAATGGGCAGGTTACAAAAAGAGGAAACCTGATGCTATGATAATCTTTATCATAACCATCTTGGTTCTACAAGAGAATCCAAGAGGGAAAAGACCCCTAGGAAAACCCCGAATGCGATGGGAGGCTTGTGTCAAAAAGGATGTAGCAGACTTCTACTCAAATAAAGATTGGCATATGTTGGCGCAAAATCGTGATGGATGGAGGCAGTTATGTTTGGATGTGTGATCTAAAAGGACGTAAAAAAAAAAAAAAAAATACCGAGTAAGTAAAATCTGATATAACTCAGTTGATACCCTAATTTTACTAAAATTAAGTTTTAATGGGTTGAACCGCCCACTGAAGGGATACTTTTGTTCACTGTTATCAGTTACATTAATCTTGTGTAAAACTTGTATGTTATTCACTATTCTACCATATAAAGTTAACTGTATTGTAGAGACTATAGAAAGATGTTATTAATAATTATTATGATTAGTATTTAAAAACGGATATGTTCTAAAATTTCAAACCCTTAACTAAGTGACATGCAGTACAGATTCTGAAGTTTTTAATTAAAATCATTTTTTGCATCGAGAAAAAATAAAAATATATATGTGATACCAGACATCACTATATAGTTAACAGTTAAAGAAACAAATTATATTTTTTTTAGGAGCTAGGATCTAAAGCAAGTTTATTTAAAAATAAAGAACAATTCCCTAATTTTAGAAATGAATGAGTCCTATTAAAAAAGAGCTCTCCCCTCAAATGATTTTGATTAATATACAGCTTTGCAATAATTTCCAAAAATGTTATTAGGACACTTGCTTATAAAACGATTCTACATACCCAGAACATAAAATGTCTTTTGGTACATTAATAACATCACACACATCACATTCAGTAATTTGAAACTGTTGAAACAGTTCGGGCGGTCTTGTATCCAATATTAAAATTAGCTTTTTATCAGTATTGTTCAATAAGTATAATAAATCTTTGTTACTAATAGTACTTTCAGATTTAATTTTTTCAATTGTTTTAATGTTTATTTCTTGTCCAATTTGTGATATTTTATCATTTTGTTCATCAGCAATTGCCTTCTCACTGTATCTATAATCATAACAAATATAGTTTATAATATGAAAAACTGACAGTTTACTATTTTGTTACTAGGTGTGAAAAGCATTATGTTTATTATGTGCCTATTTTTAAACTAAATAATTTGTGTTTTTTAATTAAACTATATGCCAATTGATTTGGTTTGTTACTGAATATTATTTAGTCACATTATTAACAATATCATTACACATATGATATTGCCTATAATAACTTACACAAACTTTTTGATTTATGGAAAACATTTTTTATTTTTAGCAAGTATATTTGTTTTCAAATTAGGAAAGATAAATTATCTTTCATGATATGATTGAAAGTTTTTCACACCGTAAAGCAATATTTTTAATTAAGCAATAGTTTTTACCGTTTTTCTAAACTAGATTTTACATGTTTCAATAGATTAACTGCCTTTTTTAAATTTGAACAATACATAAGATTGAAATACTTTGGATCGTTTTCATAGTCTTTATGATTTTTAATCAGTGTCATCAATTCACAGTACTTCATAAGATAAATATATACTCTTTCTTCATCGTTTATTTCATTATATTTCATTGCCTCCTCGAATAAAAGTTTAGCTTTATCAGATAACCTGTATCAATATGTAAGAAAAATTACAAACGTATTAATGAAGAAGTAGAATACATTTTTAAAATGATTTTATCATTACGAAGTTGTATTTAATTTTGTAAATTTTTTAGATATTTGGATCTTGTTTGTTAAATCTTCTATACTTGACGCAATACTCAAATCAACTTTGTTCCTCATGGCGAATTCCTACAAAATTGAATAATTTTAAATGAAAATAGAAACTAATTAATTTAGATTATTAAGTAGTTCGAAATATATTGGAGGATATTATTACTTACCTTTGATGAAATCAGCGTGTATGCAATTTTCGCCAAGTGTAAATAGCTAATACTAAAAAAAAAAGTAATATAATAAATAAATTTCTAGCGGATAAAACTAATCGTTAGCCACACAAGGAATCAGATTGTAAATATAAATATAAAACAAGTAAGTATTGACTTCCTATCTTAGAACTTGAAATGAAATAACAAACATTGTTGTTTACCATAGCGATGGTCGATAAGGAACTGGACAGTGGACGCCAAGGGCCAGAGTCAAGACGGAAAAATAATTTTTATTTTAACAAAATTCGTATTTGATATTTCGTAACCCTTCAGCAAGGTGTGGTGTGTCAGCAACGGAGAGTGACTGACAAGTGACAACAGGATTACTACAGTAGAGGTGCACTCTGTAGGTTAAAATGTCAACTGTGGACTAATGAGTAATGTATACACAACAAGAATCAAGGTATATAATCTAAACATTATACGACATACCAATACACATAGATTGGTATACAAAGATTGAAGACTAGAAGTCTAGTCTTATATAATGTTAAATACATGTAATCTATAACATACACTATATTAGGTTTTTTGGAATGAAAAGTGGACTGTGGAAAAAGGAAATTTCTGTTGTCATGTCAACCTCAAACAGCAGCTGCTGTTGTTGGACAAGACGTGTTATCAATGTAACCAAAGTGTAACGCACAGGGATGTGTAGTTTATGAGCTATAAAATAAATAAAATAATATATATATATATACATTAATCAAAAACCAAGATACTAATAAGTAATGTATGTATATTATATTATAATATTATAATTTAACTACTTATATTATTGGTTCGCGATATATATATATTTTTTATTTTTATAGTCTGCTACATAGACCTTTTGTCTACTCATAGACCGGCGCTTTTCGGTTATTGAGTTACTCATATACGGTACAACTAATATCATATACGGTTAATCTGATACGGTAATTTACTTTATATATTTTTTTTAATAATTTCAAATGTTTAATATTTGTTTGTAAATAAATAATTATTAATAATATTAAATAGACTGCGTTTATTTTATAAGTATAAATATTATAATTCAAATATTAAATTGTCAGTGCACAATATTTTTCAATATATTGAACAAACAGGTTTATGGTAGCACTGTTCCATAGACGGCCAGCATCACTGCGCTCTGTCGGATCGCGGCTATCTATGTATTTGGTATAGGATGGGCCGGTCTATGGTCTCCTATAATCCGAAAACTCTTTAAAGTGAGCTGTACGAGTCGAGTCAAGACTCAACTCAGGTCTCAGTTTAACCAACCAAATATTTAAACGAGCTGTGATCGTGTACACAGACTAAAATCACGATTATAGATGAATAATCGTGACAGGGCAGAACATTGTGAAGTATGTGGGGAACGTGGTTACTGATCGGTGGGAGAGTGCGGTTAGTGTTTGTCACTAATCGCCTTTTACCGATTCTGGCGCTATCTCATGATAAAATCATGTACTAAGCACGGACTATAATACAGGACTGGAAACGACACTCGTTTCAGTGGAACCAAAGTACAACGCTTGCTAGTACAAAGACGCTCTTAACGCCATGGACAGGTCAATCAGTAATTGCACACAAAAATACTAAACAAAACAAGTTTAATACAATATTCTATTTATTATTTAAAGTAACTAATTTTGCTAAATTTTTTCGAATTAATTTTGTTTAGGTTTTTATTTTGTATGTTTGTAAACTGTCTCATCCTTGTAGTAATATAATATTTAGGAATGAACATCAGTACTTCATTATTATGTTCATCACAAGGAAATGTAAGTACACTGGCGTTATTGTCTAACACATGATCAAATGTGTCTTGAAAGACACTAGCCTCCGTACAATGTTTTAAAAAAGAGTTTTCTATTGTAGTTATTAATTTATGAAAATGTTCATTTATAAATTGCCCCTGGATTTTAAATTGGTAAACGCAGCTTTGGATTTGCTTGAATAAGTCTTTCCTAAAAATATTAATTTACACTAAATCGCCAGGTAAAAAATGATTTTGACACACAAAATTTGCCACTGAACTTTTGCCATTCGCCTTTGAAATGGCTTGATTCAATGCTATGGAAATATTTTTTCCTTGGGGCATTTAAATAGAGTGCATTTTATTGTTTTGTTTAAAACACATATGAGTGCACGCTACATTTGCGAAAATGTATAAAAATATTTATTACTAATTTTTCTCATTTTTGTCGGCCCTATTCTCACCAATTCCGTATTAGGTTAGGTTAATCCACGGATCTTAATATTCTATTAAATTAATACCACTGATTATAATAGTTTATTTATAAACTATTGAAAACTTTTTATTTAAATTATGCGTCAATAGATTGCGCACAAGGCGCGATTGAACCGGGAAGCGTTGTACAATCGGGCCAAGGTTTATAAATTATAATCTATAAACCTTGCAATCGGGCCACACCCCGCACTCCGCCGGCCCGTCTGTATTATAGTCTGTGATTCATGGATATAAACAGTGATAACAGTTATAAACATGTGATAAGGACTAAGGTTCTATTTCCCACGAAGACAGCAGAAAATGGTATTTGGTAACTTCAATTAACTCTATTAGCGTGAACACGTCTTCGCAATCTAGTTTATTATATATTTATATCGGTAGCCTATGCCGATCTAGTCGACTCCGGAGGCGTCAGCACTCAGTTTTCTTAATTCTATTTTAAGTCCCTCTAATTATATTATACAAAACTAAACGGTAAAAGTTAAGATACTGATACTTTATAGTTCCATGGATATGCTATGAAAAAGAACCTAAAAACTTTTGAAGTCGTAAAGTCGGGTCCACAGTCCACACTACCCCGCAAAACGACGTTTGTCAATGACATGGATTTTTGTTTTCGTGAATGTGTACATTTTCCCGAACATTACATTAGTGTTTGATGTTTCCTATAAAGTATCAAACATTACGGCGTACATGTTCGCTAACGTTTAGCGCGGCTCTAAATGTCATATTACAATTTTCAATGGAATGCCAGATCAAAGAATTATAATTATATTTTTCAGTGTTATTTTTTTAACTCTTCATTAAAAAAATAGTATTTTTGCAATAATAACTCAAATAAATTTAACTTTTATAATAACATTAAAAAAAAAATTCATCAATTGAAGGGTCCAGAGCAAGAACCAGGTATTCTCCACAATTTATGAAAAAAATTTTTTTATGGGAAGATGTTCATGGAAAAATGGTTTACCTTTTCGTGCATCAAACAATAAAATCGGACAATTATCTACAAAGTTATTACAAAACCCATTTTTTTCCGCCAATGGTGGTAAATGGGACAATGGATTTTTTTTTGGCTGTCCTGAACAATTTCAAAATAAGGAGATACCTGGTTCCTTGGTAAGGGACCATTCAATTAGTAAACACTTAATATGGTTTAAAAAATAAAATGAATATCAATGTGTCGTTTCAACTGAGTTATGTCATAAGAGTAAAATAATGCAGTGAATAATTGTTTTATAATAGTTATTTAGCAATTTTTTCTTTCCTGTTATAACAATAGATTCTACAACTTTTACAATTTTAATAAATATTAATTTAGTTATTTTTTACGATTTTGAAGTGGAAGGGGGTAATTAACATTTTGGCCTACTAAAGTACCTTTCAGGTAAAAATTCTATCTATAAACTTGCTACATAAAGAAATCTGCTTTGTGGCTTAGAATATTATATTGTGGGTTTGGAAACAAAAAATAAAAACAAACCTTGTCGGCTCAGCATTGAAGCTAAAAATTATATTTAAATCTAAACCTTATACTTATGGAAGTATAATGTCTATGATGTAAACACTAAATACCATTTGGCAATTATATAAAAAAATTATACTTCAATACAAGTTAATAACCACATACTTTAGTTATATATAAATTACCACAGATAAGATTCATTTATTATCTAGGTATACGACAAACTACCTATAATACCTAACTTATAAGAAACTAAGTTTGTATTTAAAGAAAAATTTAAGTTTCATAAAATAATGACATTAAATACCTAGTTAAAGTTCTACTCTTCTAAATTGTATTAAACATTTTTTTCTACGGCCATTTCATTTTAATGCTTTACTGTGTTTCTATAATTATTTTTAAATGGTAGTTATTAATTTTTTTTTTTCAAATTTCAACAATGTATCATACATAATATATTGTTTGATCTTTAATAACCGGGTATTATATAGTAATGTTACAATGTATAAATGTTGTATTTTTCAAAAATAAAATTTGAAGAAAAAGCAATCTAGTATGTTAAAACGATATTTTCATGAAAATGGGTGGTCATGAGTGGCCACAATAACAATTTTTTCCCACACTGTAAATAATCTATGTTTGTGAAATCAGGTTCATTAATTAAACTGATATTCATCCAAATATTAAAAATTAATTTCTATTATACTATCAAACAGCAAGAATCTGAATAAAGTAGTAGGCAAAACTTCTAAAAATAAAAAAAAATTCAATAGGTAACATTGCTTAATATTGTTAGTTTTATATTAAAAGTTATAGTAACAAAGTTTAATGATTTTTTATTAAATTATCATTGTACTATTTTAACCAAGACATCTCCGAATCAAATCCTCTCTATTGACATTAAAATTATTTTCCAAAAAGTCCAAACAGCGTGTTTGTAAGTGTAGCATCCTCAGTTCAAAAGCTCCAGTTAAAATGTTCTAAAATGATCACCAAATAATTATTATTCTTGAAAGCAAAAAAAATTAATAAGTCATTAATTTACATTAACATTATCACGAGTTAAGTGTAATTCACCAGTGTACATGGAATTAACTATCTGTTCCAGTGTTTCAGCACTTATATTTCTTAAAAGCAATCTTCTTTCAATGCTACCACTCTCCGCCAATTCTAAAATTGCAGGACACGATGAAGCCATTACGATCAGATGACCCCATACTTGGTCACCATTATCATTAAACAACACAAAATCCACAAGCTCATTTCTCCTAAAATAATAATAAATATAATATTAATATTACACATTACAAAGTAAAACTTTGAAGGGTTAGCTGGACCATAATTCATATATCTTTATGAGAAGTGACTCCAACTTTTAACTAAGGAATATATAGTTTATTATACTGACCCTGCTATGAAGGTCTAATAAAATATTAGAGAATAATAACCTTAACCCAATATAAGCATTTCAGTTTTGGTTACTTGCCAAGAAGACCATTGAGGCTCCAATATTTTTTTTTCTATTTAGAATACCTTTTTAAGTCCTTATAAATTATGCCACCTATATATTGTCGTACAATCCTAAGTCCCCCAGAGTTATAAAGATGTATCAAATATATTGATAAAAATTAAAATACTGCTATCGTTTATTTTACTTACACCAACTCTTCAATTTGTATAATTTAAGAACATCAATTATAATTCTATATTTTATAATATTTATAAGTAAAAAAAAAAAATAGTAAATTTTTAAAATTAAACGAAGCGTAAGCAATGAAAAAGTATTAATCATACACAAAATAAAAACGTTTATAAACACAAGCTAGGTTTGGTACTGCATAGTGCATACTTGCGCATTTCGTTCATACGAATGGATCTTTGTATAAAAGCATCTTCTCTATTAAGTGAACTTCTGTTATTCATAGCGAAGGTAGGTTATTTGCAAAAAAACAACAATCATCAATAGATTATGAAAATTAATTTCATAAATATCTCTTAAAAGTCGTTGTTAGTACTTAGTGGCCACCTACCACCGTGATATTGTTACAATAACTAACACATTTGTTTTTATGGTTTGTGCACGTTTACGTTATAACTTATAACATACAACAAGTAAGGACGCCGAACTGCGCTATCAGTAAAAAAACCAACATATTTTGTTGCATCTCGCATCCGCCAGTTGCGCTACGGACACTCACGATTTTATCTACTTTCTATGCTAACGATAATAATCTATTCTGTGATACCTAATACTTTTACAATTTACACTAAAAACATGGACCAACCTTCGGGAGACGCACACAATTTTTATTTTTTATAGAAAAAAAAAAACAAGAAGGTATATTCAGATTGTTGAAATGTAAAAAATGTAACGACAAAATAAAATAAACCAGAATAGTATCGTACCAAAAACTGGAAATATAAAAAAACAAATTTAACGAAAAAATGTAATACAGAAATATAAGAAAAATAGAATTATATATTCAATCGGTCTTCTAAACTATTACATAGAGTATTGTCATCAATTATACAAACGTTTCCCGTTCAATTCCCTACACATAAAATGTTTAGAAATTATGACATTTTCGAACCTTAAAAACAGGGTTTCGAAATAACTGTGTACTCTAACTTATACTTTTTTTAAGGAACTTTTTGAAACTGTTAATGCAAGAACTTTTTTGTTCGACTTTTATTATAAAGTTCTTTTGAGAACTTTTATAATAAAAGTTCTTCCAAAAACTTTTTGTCTAGGACTTTTATTTAAAATTTCTTTTTTATAAAGTTCTCTACGGAACTCTTAAGTTTTTTATAAGAAAAGTTCTTATCATTGAAGTTGTTAATTAATCTATAATCATTATAAAATATTTAAAACAATATATTTTTATTCAGATAATGTTACGCTTACAGTATTTATTATTTACAATGAAATAATGTATCAACAATAATACAATATTTTGTCGAGACTGACGATGTTCTGCAAGAATAAAATTTAAAAAAAAGACGTCTTGATTATATAATTTAATTTAATTTTGTTATAAAAAAAAGCCAGTACAGTGGGGTGGGGGCATAGTGGGGACGGAGAGGTCACAGGTCTACAGATTTTATTATAACTGAAAGTGATAAAATCACTTTTAAATAAACGCTTCGATGCGAATCTGTGGATAGTATGTTCAAACCAATTATAGTTCCAATTGGGTACCCTTCAAAATTTTGTTCAAAACACGTCACTGGCGATACTGATCAGCTTGCATGTAAAAACTTTATGTGAGAACTTATACTTAAAATGTTCTAGTATGAACTGTGAATGTTCTATTATCATAACTCTTATGAAACAGTTTTGGCAAGGACTTGTATAACAAAACTTTTATCAAAAAGTTATTTTGATAAAAGTTCTTGTTGGACTTTTATCAAAAAGTTTTTTTAAAATTAAAGTTCTTATGAAACAGTTAAACTAGAACTCTTTGAAAAAGTTTAGTAACTGTTTCGTACCCTGCTTAAAAATATAAAAAAGTTTTGGAATTATGTAAACTCGTTAAAAAATTATGAAGGTGATGCAATGTATTATGTACCCATTAATAAATTGGTGAAATTTATACTCACTCTAGCGCACAAAAGTGCAGTGCTTGTGTGGAAAGAATTTTTAGTTCATTCAATTTGAACAAAACCAAATTTTGTTAGCGACTTTCCTTTTCAAAAACTATTGTATGGTGTATTGAGATCAAATAGTTTACTTAATGATACACGTTTCTGTTATAATTTTTATTTCCCAGATAAAATTATTTCAAAACATACGTCAGATATATTGTATGCATAATCTTTACTTACTTATGAATAATAAAACAGTACAAAGTTATGAAGATTAATATCCTATTGATATCAAATATGCTAACCTGTAATATTATGTATAATTTAGGTGAAATAAAAAAATATTGTAATTATTATAAATATGTGCTTCCTTGTTCCAAAGTACCTATGCATCTGACAGTCAATTTAGTGATAAATAATAACAATTATTTTAATGTTGATTTGATTGTTATGATTTGTTTAACTTGAGTTGCACTATTGTATTTGTTATTATAATTATGTACTAAAATTATTCCTTGTTCTTATCCTATGAATAATTTTGTGATAAATAATAACGTTTTTTTAATATTAAGTTTTTTTTTAGTTTGTTTAATTTGGAAGTTTTTTTATAAAAAGAGTACATATTTTAATTGTATTAATTTAATTATTTTTTGAACGGATGAAATGACCCATGTACATAAATACAAGGACATAAATGACAGTGTTACAAGTAAAAGAGTGTTACATAGTGAAAATGCATATATTTATATATATACAGGGTGATTATTTTACCATGGGCCATTCAATATCTCACTTGAGTTTAATTATTAATAATTCAATTTTTTTTTTCATAGTGTTTTTATATAATGTGATCTCAATTTTCCACAAATTATTATGTTTTTACCCCTCTCCCAAACTAGTTTTTTTGATAGCAACTTTCGAAACTTAAATGGTAACGCATTTTTGGATAACTATTTTTAAAGTTATAAGAGTTTAAATGTTAGGACGGGAAGGGAAGAACGGTTAGGAAGTGCGCGCAGATAAAAATAATACCACCCTGCACCTTTCCTCCTGCCCTAAATTTGAAACTTCAATAACTTCGAAAATACTAAATAGTTATTTAAAACTGGTTATCGACCAGTCAACATTTTAAGTAGAATATTCTTAATTTAAAAAGTTAAAAAAATATATACAGTACCATTTAAGTTTCAAAAGTTGCTATAAAAAAATGAAAAAACTAGTTTAGGAGGGGGGGGGGGGTAAAAACATAATAGTTTGTGGTAAATTGAGATTACATTATATAAAAACACTATGAAAATAAAAATACAATTTTTCAGCCGAGTCTGCAACCACGAAAGAGCATTTTCATGTAACTAAGGTGGCTAGTAAACATATTAAGTTTTTGGCTAATATTTTAATGTTTTCATAATATCTGACCTAAAACAATCCATGACTTCTTAAATTATTGAATTTATTTTTCAGTTCTAGTTTGAACGTTGTGAATACAACATATCTCTTATCTCTAATCTCTTATCAGATAACAGCGTAACGCTTCTTATGTACCCAACGCCTTTTTTCGGTAATGTGCCAGAGCAAAGACATAAAAATGCCTCCAACTCCATTCCCAACCATTTCGTTAAAAATAATTTGTATGCGAATTTTTTTTAAAGTTTTTTAATGATTTTTACAATAACATTAAAAACGAAAATAAACAATTTACGTCAATCGATACGTCAAGCAATTAATTCAAAATCTGTATCTGTTTTCAAAACTATCTATTATCGGATAACGCGATTCAGAATCAAGGGTCTGAATATTGTTCCTAAAAAGTTTCTATCCAATATTTGTTCCGGAACAAATTGACTTATTTGTTTCTATCGGACATCTGCTCCAGAATAAATGAATCTATTTGTTCCAAAGAAAATAAACTTTGTTTTCTGGGATAAACAAACCTAATTGTTCTGGAACAAATATCGAATGTATATACTTACGTAGATATTTTTGAGAGATCGAATAAGTTTTCTAAGGCTCACAGCTAGTTATGCATTTGTACAAGTCTGAATAATCTTAAATATCGAAAAAATTAACATTAAAGCAGTTAGCTGAAAAACATAACCTTTTTTATTTTAATAAACATAATAATATAACGTATATATTTTTGACATTGGTTACAAGAAAGTACTAAAAGTAAAAACTAAATGTAATAATATTATGAAATTTATAATTACATATTTATTGTACAAATTATTATATTTTAAATCTATCACACGAGACTAGGAATAGCGATTTTATGTTTAAATTAACAAAAATAAAAACGAACATAACATTACTTTAATAACTTGATTGAAGTTAAGTAATTATAATTATTTTTTTTTAACAAACTAACTTTTGATCATTCGGCATAGATGATTATTGAAAAAAATATTACAGTAGTTCATACAAAATTAAAAGTATGGCTAGATTAGTTTGTAATGAAAACAAATGATATTGTTCAATTTTTATTTATTTTTAATTATATTAGGTATTCAACAAGCCAAATTAATCTAAAATGTTGCATGATTTCTAATAAAAAATTAAAATTTCGAATAAAAGTTATTTTTAATTTTGCTAGAAATTGTATAAATATTTTATATTTATATTTAATGGTACATAATAAAATAAAATAAAAATACTAAATTCTTGTTATTACTATTAATGTGGCTTGTTTCATTTTTTTTTATATTTTACACATTTAAATCTGCCATAACTTTTCGGAAGTCAGCAAGTGTATTATAATCTGGATCGGCGTCTATATCTGCAAAATCTTGATTTGAATCTGATTTAACGAATGTTGGATTGTATCTACTCAGAGATAAGGGGCAAGGCAATAGCTCTGGCATAACAGAATGATGAGTAATCAGTGCGGTTAACGTAGTGAATTCTTTCGTAAATCCCTTAATTTTAAACCCTTTATTTGTCCTGATTATTAGGTAGTGTGCTATTCCCAAATGGTGAAATTCATGTGGTACCCTCAGAGACAATGCAAAACACCCTGGTTTGGTAGTGCTTTCTCGAACCATGAAAGCACCAACTGGTTCTTGACTTAAAACTTCTAATGTGATTTCTCTGTAAAAGAGGTGTATATATATTATATATAACATTTTAAATTTCGCATTATAATAGACCTGTTGGATACAACTGTTTTATTAAATTGTACCTTGGAATACCGGCTTGGAACCAAGGTGCTTTTTTGAGTTCACACTCTTCAGGTTTTTCTAGAAGACTGTCTGAACGTTCTGGTAGAGGCGGTGGCGTAGGAGTTTTATCTGTACCATTGGATATCATGTTGTGTTTAAGCTTAATGCTGTTAGGTAAAACAGGTGAAGTCATATTACATTGAGTGACCCTGTAATTATATTTGAATAAGAGTTAATAAATGAAAAACAAGTATGTAAAATGATATATTATTCATATTATACATTGCTGACCTGTTGTCTTTTAGTTTGTCTTGAGGAGATTCCGGTGTGCTGCAATCGTCGCTATTAGTAGACGGTGAACTAGATACAGAGGAACTGCACACTAATGGATACCAGTCTTCGTTAGAGCTATTGGTGTGTACAGATAAACCCATGGCTAGACGTTTTATTAAAGGTGGTTTGTCTAGCATACGTTTATAGGTATTAAGATCAGGACTATCGTCACTGCTAGTTGGTGTAGATAATTGACCGGGCGTAATGTCTAAGCCCTTTCCGTGATCAAAGGGGCGTACACCGGGTAGAGTTTTAGGAGGAATAGGTTTTGTTTTGTCGGCAAGTTTTTTCGATAATGGTGATCCGTTTTGAATTCTCTGTACATTTAATTTGTCAGGTGTTTTGATCTGGAAGAAAAAAAACACGAATATTTAATTAATAATTAAGCTACAAATATATTAGCTTTACCATAGTAATAAATAATAATTGCCACAAAAGTTGAAATAAATACCCTAAATTACTTATAAATTTCCAATTTTTTGTTTCACTTTGAATACGTCGCCATTTGAATGACTTAGGTATTTGTCATGTCATACACATTCAAATAAATAATTAAGAGGATGTCAGCGCAGCCCATTTTAAAGAGTAATGTATAGGCAATTTTTTCACAAATTCTTAACTTAAAGATTAAACTGTGCTGTGTAATTATTAATTCACTAATTAAGACTCTTTTTTGGTATTTCAATTATTTTTCGGACTATCACAGCATCCGCGACAGCGATTTAAAAACATTTTTCAATAAAAACTTAGTTTTTTACATCCAAAATTACTGATTGATTTTAGAGCAAAAAACAGCATTATTGAGGGCACCTTGAAGCCCTTTTTTTGTTATTTCAAATAGGACATTCATTAATTTATTTAAAAAAAGACACATTTTTTGTTAATTTTAAACCCTATAAATTCTAAAAAATTAGTTTTTCGAAAAAATGGCTTCGAGATGCCTTTCAAAATATTGTTTTCTTTAAATAATCTAAAATGTATTTTTGCATTAATATCAATTAAGAGCCATTAATTTTCAATTAAAGTAAACATGTTTTAGTACCGGTAAATCGCTGCGCTGACATCCTCTTAAGACATCATTTTTTCTTACCCAAGAAGAGTTATTCAGTTTTATATTGGGCGAGTTGGACAGTGATCTTCTTTCAAGCTCCAATTGGGCAGCATACGCCATTCTAAACGCATTTCCCACAATGGAGTTCAATCCCTCGGCCTGTAAACAAAATATTTTTATCAGGTATTGCTATTTTTAATTTCTTAAATTAACCAGAGGTAGTATAGATAGGTCTCAGTTTAATTAGTCTTAAATAGTTTTATTGTGTTTTATTATTATATTCGTATAATATATATTCAGTTTTAGTATATACATATCATCACTATAATTTTCTATAATTTTTAGTACGGTACGGAATAAACTAAAAATGAACATAATTTCTATTCTGACGTGGCTGGCAGACATTGTCTATTATCGAATATCAAACTAATATCGAATTGTATCATTCATTCATTGAATCTAGCTCATTCTTATGACATTTTTTTATATTCCGTTTATCATTAGAAAATTATTTTTACTGAGTACGTTTGTGTGTGTGGTCCACCATGTACAAGTTAAAGGGGCGTAAATTACTAGTCTACAGGCTTTAAATTATGAGAATACACTCAATGCAACAAAGGGCAAATGAAATCAAACATTTTCCGGTAGAGCGCACAAAATTAAAGAAATTGTGACAAGACCCCTCCGACTCATCGGCTTAATGTAACGAAGGAACAACAAAGTATAACAAAAAAGGATTACTGATAGACGGAGGGTTAAAACTTAAAACTGGTTTAGTCATGGAAAATATATATTTCACGGTTTTTGACTCTTTAGTTAAGTGTTGGAGTGACTATGTGAGAGAAGGAAGAAGGACTATACTACATGCTCGACAGAATTGTTTGAATTCTTAACTGCTAATTTTTATATGAAACTCATTTTGTAGACGTGTATTTGGTTGCTTATATTCTTCTTCTCAGTGCACTTCTTCTGTGCCAGCGATTTCGATATAAATGTGTTATGTGGTCTATCATTTATTCATTTGGTTGCTAAGTTAAGTTGAATATTGTTTAAGAGAAATGTATTATGTATGATATTATATTTATCTGGTATACAAACAAAATATATAGTTACAATAGGGACGCAATACAATTTATAGTTAATGCAACAATATATTTTTTTTTAGTGTACCTAAACGACAAGACTTTATATCTATGGTAGTATTTATAATAGAAATTGTAAAAATATACACAAAGTATAAGCTTCGGTCGGTGTACCTAATATTCGGCTTATAATTTTAATATTCCCCCAAAAGGATATAGGAGAAATTCGATCTGTATCATAGTACATGCCGAACAGTATGTGCTCATTTTATAGTTTTATTTTTATTTCTAAATATGATTTGACAAATGAGCAAATAGCTTGTGTATAATAGAAGCGGACAACCTCTATTACCGTAGAATACGGTAATCGAACCTCTAGTATTAAATTTGGCGCTTCATCTATGATATGATTGGCATATATTGGATTATACATGGTCGGTACAACTAAAATGCTTTATCTTGATTAATGTTTCAGCATTTTAATTTGGAAACATTTTTACAAAAGTTTGGGAAAATGCTTGTAAATATTTTTGGCATATTATATATTTATACGACTTGTGAGAGTTGGGTACGTGTATTTAAAACGAGACGGAACTTAGGTTATCATGGTCGGTAAATGAATGTGTGATGCGGAAAAACGCCAAGACGTAACCGTCCAGAAGCAGCGCCAATGTATTTGTTGAGTCGCGAAGATACTGTTTTGACGTTTCAACAGTTGACGAACACGCCAGGGAAACGACGAGTTCGGCATACGAACAAAAATCATCGGTTCCCACGGACGTTTCGCCCATGGTTCTTCGACTGTGGGGCGTTTGTAAACTTGATTTTTGTTAGCAAGAAACCGCACGGAGTCGTACGGAACGCTGCGTATATATTATTATTGTTATTATTTGCATAATATGTAACGTGGGAGACACAAAAATGCATCGGCGTCACGGACACGCACAAGATCGGACCTGAAGTCAAGCACCGATTGTGTGCGCTCGTATACGGATTTGTTCCTTGTGCCTCTCCCCCACGCCGACTCGAACCTCCGTAACGAGTAACGACCGCCGCCGACGCTCACATTTTTTCCACTTCATCTCGGTACCGGAATACCTCGCGGGGCCACCGTCGCCGCCGCCGCCGCCGCCATCGGTCGTCACCGACTGCATTCCACGAATATTTCTCCGGAGAACAGGCGGCACCGGTGACCGGCCGCCGAAGACGCGTGGACCGCCGGATGCACAACCACCGCGGCCGCTACCGGTACACGCACGCGGACCACGGTTTTTTCGTTATTGTACCGCCGGCACAGTCGTTCGTCAAAGTCACCCGGCCGTAACCCATTACCCGCCCTAACACGGTGTTTTTATTCCTATGCATATACTATGTTATTATTGTGTTTACCGTGCAACATAATATCATATAATTATTATCGGTATAATACAGCGGATCCTACAACACTCGGGTTGTTATAACTACTGTATCTAGACGATTTGGGACGCCGCCGCCACCTTCCGCATGTGATCGCATCAAGTGTGGCAAAGTGAGCCGCCGCCGCCGCCGCCGCCGCCGCCAACCATCTCTCGTCCAGTCCATCATTATCATCGCACAATAATTAATTTGTTATTAGTATTAGTGTTATCATTCTGTTGGCGCGTATTACCCGGTGGCCATCCTCTCCCACAGATCACTCCTCCCCCTCCTTTTCGGAATTTAAGAGAAGATTTTTAGGTTTTTCTTAATGACATAATGTAAGTCGAAACGCGTAACGTGTAACAATCGTACATTGACACGTCTAGTTTATTATGTCGACCAACGGCGTTTTACAATTTTACCTAATGCATCGGTCTTTACTTATTTTTGAGCAATGAAAAAAATAATCAAAATTTATTCAGGCCATTAAATCCGTTTAAGGCGACCGAACGTTCAAGTAGGTAACACTGAAAAACAAGTCATTCGACATTCCTAATCAAACATTATTTTATTTTCAATTCTGCCAAATCATATGAAATACAGTTACCCATTGCCCACTAAGAATCTGCAGCCGAGTTAAAATAGTTATATATGTATGTTACAGAATATTTTAATATTATACTATATTATTATACTTTTGCCAGGATCTTAAAGTAAAATATTTTTCGCCTTCTTTGAAAATGTAAAATAGTTAATATAGATCTATCATGCAACAAATATAAAGCATACTGTGATAATACAATTAATATTTCACAGCCAAAATTGTGTATAATTAACCAACGAGAATAAAATGGTAACTGAAAGTACAAAAAAAGTGATTTAATGATTAAATAAATCGAGAAAAAAAAAGGTATATATATATATATCTAACAGTGACGACAGCATGTAAAGAACAATAAGGAACTGACTTAAAAAGAGACTAATAATAGGTTATTAGTCTGATCGCAATAAGTTTGACGAATGACTGTTGATAGGACGTGATAGGTTGAGTATCATAAAACTTGTACTGAATTGCATTCGAATGGGGCTGGATGATCGTAGATAATAAGAAAAATTATTAATTCCATAAAGCCAAATAAAAAACTGTAAAATCTCATAATCCAATTTTTGAACAGTAAAACGAATTGAAATCACTTATTAACACACATGATTTGTTATAAAACAATATGATTCGTAGTATTAAGATTATTTGATTATTATTGTTAATAAACGTTTTGATCTCCGGGAATGGCGAATGAAGTGATTTTAACTTAAATATTTTTAATTATTTTGGGAGTATCGAATTTCAAATCAGATTTTTGAGTGGTTATAATCATTGATCGCACAGCTTGTTCAAAATGTAAGACATTTATTTAAATTGACTAAAAACTGGAAAATATTGTGGAATGTTGTTATAGAGTTAAATATGATAATTCACCATTAATAAAAATTATTATCATTACAAATATTTAAACTTGAAAATGTCGTATGTTAAAATGTAAATCATATTATTATTACTTATACAGAAAAATATACTTATTATGCATTACATTTTTTGCCTTATCTACCTTGGCTGTACAATAATACAATTTTTATTAATGTTCTATTAAGATAACATTTTTAAATGGAATAAAAGATTTACTTTTCCTGGATTCTATACAAATATTATTATTTCGCAATAGGTTAAAAGAGCTGGAAAAGAAGGAAGAGTTTATGATTTTTTGTAATCTTTAAAATTTTATTTTATTTTTGGTTTTTGTGACCGGATTGAAATTAATTACTAATTAATAAATATTTCACTTATTTAAGTTGTTTTATACCATGTTTTATATAAATATTTTATACAATTATTTTGTACGTATTGACTATGCTTTTAAATATGATTTCGTTTTTAGAATAAGAACAGACTTTAGTTATAATAATTAGAGTTTAGGTGTGCATATAAATTTATTTATATTCTTGTTATTCAAAAGTAATGTAGACACTACGTACTGAGTGATTGGTTAACTATGACCCAGTCAATATCTCATAATATCCGTATAGGGTTTTTAGAAAATGTACTAACACTTTAACGCACACAGTTATAACTATAACCAGGCACGTTTAATAAAAATACACATTTATACACTATAGTATGTCTCCGTTGTTAAAACCACTACATACATATAATCAACCCATTTTACAACTCTTTGCGTTGATTCTCGATAAGTAGGCATTTCGAAATGTCATAATGTCAAAACTCAGAGCTAACATTGTTACAATCCCGACAGTGTATCGTCGTTGCCACGAAAAACCTCCTATGTGCCAATTTTACGATTTTGAGGTTTTGGTATCCCTGGATACGGAAAAAAACAAGCTATCATATGATAAAATCTCCAACATGCTATCTCCATTGTAGAATATATAAAAATAAAAAAACCGCCTATGGGTTATCTACTATAAATCGTTTTACACGTTTTAGTGTCTCCTGAACAATTAGGTTTTAGCACATGGGAGTTTTTTTTTTGCGGCAACGACGGTATGTTGTTATCCGTCTAAGGTGGGTTTACACGCTTAGGTAAACTGTGCAAACAAATTTATGGTATTTTTATGTAGTCAGAATTTGGAAATGAACTGAGTAAATTATTTAGGTTTTTACCT